AGTTACCAAATTAAGGATGTGAAAGAAGAGGAAATCAATTCACCACGTGGGCAGAATCGAAATATTCACTTTTGCAATCCGTCTAATGTTATGTCAATGGGGAAAATTACCAAAAAAGTTCTAAACATATTATATTTGTGTCAATTCAGTTGTAAATAGTTTTTTTTGGGCCAATTGAGTCCCAAACATTTTGCATTTGTGTCAATTCAATCAATTTGACCAATTTTGGCCGTAAATTTCTTACATAGATGCCGACATAGATGCTGACCGTCCTACGTGGCATGATCGACGCTGACATGATCAATTTTTAATGATATTTTAAAAATGCCAAATACCTATTCTTGATGCAATGTGTCAGAGTTTTTAGGGACAAAACAGGCCCTTAAATTTACGTGAATTTACAAATTGCATTTTAGGTTGTTCGATTATTTTAATGGAATGCCATCAAGTTGCTTTACATGAATACTATGTCAAAGTATATGTTACGTGAAATATATGTTGCATTACTCGAGTAGTTTCATGGAAAAAAATTTCGAAAAAGAAAATAATAATAATAAAGTCCAGAAGTTCTTTTTATTGTCAATTAGTATAGTTACATTCCACTCTTACTCGAGTTATTCATAAAGCTTGATTCTCTCTATGTTGGAAGCAAATTCTTCACCAATTAGTCATATACTGACTTAACTTTGGATCAATTTGACATAATTAAATTTTATTTTGCCCAGACGCTGTTGTTTGATATATATTTAAAATAATTACATCTTAATACATTACCGATACATATTTACAATTCCGCGCGCCGCACTGCTTAAATAAGCTAATAATAGAATCGATCATTGAAAGTGCAGTTTGGGCATTGGGTGAGAGTAGAATTCCACTAGTTATCGAACCAAAAGCATGAAAGGTGTAGGGATAAGTACATATTTCCAATTTGGTAAGTATACATCCACAAAGAAATATATGACCCTATTATCTCATTTCCAACTTGATACACATAAATAATTATATAGACCTATTCCTTCGTTATTTATCTTTCCTTGGATTGCCTTTATTTTAAACATAGAATATTGTATTATGGTTACATATCATCTATTGCCTCGTACATAATTTGCCATCAGGAAACTTGATATTTCAACAATCTCCAAAATATTCCATATACATGTGTGTGTATAACAACACTCGACTCGAGTTGGCACTCACTATATTCCTATTTACCTAAGTTTTTTTTGGAGATTCGAAGGTTGCTTCAATGGCGTCCAACAGCAATGAATCCGACGAGAAGCTGAGGGGTTCGGTGATGAGGTTCTCCGATACATGGAAGGCCTACAAGAAGAGCCAATCGACGCGGAGGTCTCGGTCTCAGACTCCTAGTCAAAGTCCCTCCTCCTCCTCCTCAGGAAGCGCACGGGGATACCCTCCGGGCACGCCGAGTGGCAGTGTTGCCGTGAGTGCCACAAGCGCCGCCAAGCACCGTCTCGCCCCGTCGAACAGTCGCGGACCATTGTCGCGGGGGGACCAGGTGGCATTGGTCAGGAGCCGGAGGGAGAACCCACTCCCGAAGTCCCGGCTGAGCGTTTCGAGTGGCAGTGGCAGCAGAGAGTATCATCATCGAGAGCCGCCGCCAAGCTCACCGGACAACGACGACGACATGCCGCCACTGGAGTACGACCTACCGCCACAAAGTTCAAGTTATTATTACCAGAACCCGGAATATTATTATTCTCCGCAGGTCGATAATTTCTTTCGTCACTTCAGAGACGACACGCCGGGCTCGTCGGAGTACCCACCGCCACGGGCTTCTTATGATCATAGCCATAGCTCAGAGAATAAGTCCTCAGAGAATTGCGTTGTGATGTGAGTCGCCATTGTTGCCATTTGATTTTTAGTGAAAAACATGATGAATCAGGGACATAATATTTACTTAGTTTTCTTAATTTAGTATAGCAAGGGACATATGGTTTATTACTTTCGGATTTCAATTTTTTTTTTTTTACTTATATTGGGTCCAAGCAATTTCTTATTTTAGTGACCGGTTTTTACTGTCAAGTTATTAGCGCTTTATAATGATGGGTTTGAAAGACTATCAACCACAATTAATCGAAAAACGTGAACTTTCAATTCTTTTGGTTTCCTTTCAAGGATTCAACTAGTTCAAAGGATATAATTTGGGCTTTTTTTTCCCTTTAATTTGGGTTTATCAAGTTCTATCCACTAGTGTCAAATTCGTTGTTTGAAGAGTTGAAAGAGTGCCATCCCAGGTCGTAAGTGAGCGTCATGTTGTTTTTTCTTGTTGACGAGTATTGTTTGACGCAATGGTGTCCCATAATTCATCATTAACTCGATTTTTCAACTATACTACTACACCTAGAAAAATAATAACAAAAATTGCTACGACAAATGAATCTTATTTGAAACTTGAATGATCAAACCTTTTGGAGCATCCAAGTAAATGGGATAACGATACAAACAGTCCCTGAGTTTTGGCCCAACGTACAATGTAGTCCCTGAACTTTAGCCTAATGTTCAATGTAGTCCTGGAACTTTTAATTTATTCAATGTGATCCATGGACTTTTAGTATATGTTCAATATAGTCCATAAATTATATGAAAATATTCAATGTAGTCATTGAACTTATTTTATTGGAAGGTCTATATTGAACATTTTCACATAATTCAAGGACTAAATTAAACATTTACCAAAAGTTCAGGGACGACATTGAACAAATTAAAAGTTCAAGGACCACATTGAATAAATTAAAAGATAAGAAACCACATTGCATATTGGGTCAAAGTTCATGGACTGTTTATGTCATTTTCCCCCAAGTAATCAATAGGATTAGTCGCTTTAAGCGATTACTGGCTAGGCTCAAAATTGAGTCATGTGTCTCGTGCACATCACATATTATCAGAAGCGCATGCTTAAGCATATAGCTAGGTCAATTAATAATGCTGAGATAGAACGAAATCTAAATTCCATCTAATAGAAAAGAAGTTCGTTCGACATAGCGTGGAGATAGGCCTCGTTGAGTTCTCGAAGTTTAATATGGGATAAAAGCACCACCAAATGAAAAATCAACATCCATTTCTTATATGTACTTTTCAAGGTTGAAGATGGTCTGACCAAAAAAAAAAAAGGTTGAAGATGGCAAATACTTTCAATTGTCTCTTAAAACAATCTTCAATTGTTGAGTGGGAAAATTGTACTATAGTCCTAAATCTCACATACATATCGTAATTGAGTCATAAGCTTTTTAATTGATTTAATTAAACACTAAATTTCTATTTTTAAGGATGTCGCATAGACAATCTTTACGTGATTTATGGGTAATTTTAGATGCTGTCCATGGAAAGGATATGAGTGCCGGTGTTGAAAAAAGATTTTGGACTTAATTGAGATGGTTGAAAGATTAATTACTATCCAGAGAGAAGATTCACGACTTCTAATGCGCTTTAGCCTTTAATATTAGGGAAAAAACCACCAAAAACCCAAACTTTCCATATGCAATGACACATTTACCCCGAACTTTTTGTGACACAAAAACCCGAACTTTGCTTTTTGTAACACATTTACCCCAATGTATTTAGTCCATGGGCATTTTCGTCTTTTTTGCTTTTTCTTTTTTTTTCTTTTTTTTTTTCTTCCGGGAGGGCCTCGCGGTGTCGGCGAGGTTGCCCTCGCCGCGTCCTGGCAAGGGGGCCTCGCCGGCGTCGGGCGAGGGCGGCCCTCGCCGGCGCAGCGAGGTTCGCCCTCGCCCGACGCCGGCGAGGGTCGCCCTCGCTGGGGCGAGCGAGGCGGCCTCGCCCGGCTCAGGGTGAGGTCGACCTCGCCGAGCCGGCGAGGGTCGACCTCGCCGGATCGGGCGAGGCGGCCCTCACTGCGCCCTCGCCGGCGTCGGGCGGGGTTCGCCTCGCACAGGCGGCGAGGGCGGCCCTCGCCCGACTTAGGCGAGGTCGACCCTCGCCGACGCCGGCGAGGGTCTACCTCGCTGAGTCGGGCGAGGCCGCCGCTCGCTCGCCGCCCGAGCGGCGACCTCGCCCTACGCCGGCGGGGGCCGCCCTCGCCGGATGCGGCGAGGGCCGCCTCGCTCGATGCAGCGAGGCCCCCTCGCCGGAAAGGAAAAAAAGAAAAAGCAAAAAGACGAAAATGCCCATGGACTAAATACATTGGGGTAAATGTGTCACAAAAGCAAAGTTCGGGGTTTTGGTGTCACAAAAAGGTTCGGGTAAATGTGTCACAGATAGCAAAGTTTGGGGTTTTTGGTGATTTTTTCCCTTAATATTAATTCTACTCACGTTCAACTTTTACAACTAGGGAACAGAACTCCTAAACGGTCCATCTCCCCATACTCTCTGCCGCGGCCGCACCATTGCTGGTCGCCATTGCCTCCAACCTCCCCCACCACACCCACACCTATCCCGGAACTGATGCATCTTCATTGTCTCGTGCCATTTTCCCTCTTTCCCTACCCAACTCTCGGTCTCCATCATTAGAACGGGAGCAAGAGAGGGAGAGAGTGCCGTCTTGCCGTAGCAAACTAAGCCAAGGGCAAAGCCGGAAAGTATAGGGATAAACATAATTTTTGTTGCAATGGCTAAGCTAAATTTCAAGACCATCTCTCTTCATCTTCAGCTTTTGTTTAAAGAGAAACATCTAACTTCAAATATACTAATATGGATTCTCATGATTTTTTTTGAAGTCAAATCATTTCTCCCATCTTCAACTTCTCCAAGAGAAAACCTGGCTCGGGCCCAATTGGGTCGTCGACCGGGCGTCGTGACGGTGGGCCCTAGTCTGGGCCTGCCCAAAAAGCCTTGGAAGGCCCATGGGCCGATAGGCCCATGTCGGGTCCGACATGAACATCATACGATTCATACCTAAGCAGCAGCTGCTTAAGAGCGAGTCAGCTATTGTTCTTGCATTCTTTACCCGGGCTTTCAAGAAAGCTAATAAAAATCCAATTTTTATGATGGTTTGAGATGGTTGAGCTTTCATGGTACGGTCTCCCGCATTTGCCGCGAACACTGTAGAGATCCTGCGACAGGAACGGCTCCTCCTGCGGATTCCTTCGCTTGAAAGTTGAAAGCTTTACTTTCTCTCCAATGTCTGTCATCAGACCCTGATCTCTCTCTCTCTCTCGTGTCCTTCCAGTTTCCCACTGCTGATGATGCCACTCGGCACTGGTCTCCCGCCATTGCAGCTCTGAGTGACGAAAGCCGTCGCTTCTCTCTCCTCCCCCATGGAAACCCAGGAAGCACGACCTGTCAAGTCCCTTACCACGAGGTCTCTCTGTCTCTCTGTCTCTCTGTCTCTGGCTGAGCTGGTTCTACTGTGTGGTGGTTGCTTTGGTAATGCGAGAAATGGCGAGTGACCCATGAAAATGTCCGATACATCAGAGTGCCCTTCTGGGTTCGCTGCTCTTTTGTCGCCCTTTGAAGCTTGATCGCTGGAGCCCTCTTTATCTATGATTTCGACCCTTTGCTTGGACGGAGTTTTTGAACTGAATGCACGCAGTTTTGGCTCTTGACGATGACTTGTTGCCCCCCCAAAATCAGCAATTTTGACACCAAGCTTGTCCAAGCAATATGAACCGTTGCAAGTTGGCAATACGAGGCTACACGATAGCGGTTGTATGAATAATGAAACGATTTTCGGCATTTTCTCAGACACACTCGTACAAGAGCAAGAGTTTGTAAGAAGAAAATGAACAGAATCTAAATGCTATGAAGTAACCACACTAATTTCTTGCGGATTGGTTGATTACACGTGCCTTCTTCTTGATATCGAGCTACTTTTATACTTCCAAGCCTTTGCTTCCCACGTCTCAAGTAATTGACCACGACCTCCGTGACCCTCTGCACAGAAGTCTCCTCAGGTTTAACCATTTAGGCCTACCCCATATTTTTCCAGATTATGGTTTAAACTGTTTTCCGCATCTTCAGGGTTGGTTTCTTCATGGTTTGGCATTGTCCGTTAGCCACCGTTCCTCTCGTCTGAGAAACTAGTACTGTCACTTGACTGTTTCTGTATTTCTCGGTTTGACATCACAATGGTCCGGTATCACTCAGTTTCAGATGCCAACACTTTTGTGCCGATTCATCCTGCTTCTTTTCACTGATGCTGATGCCAAACCATCAATATTGTCCTAATGCCAATTGTGTCAAATTCCAGTGCCAACATGACTATATATTTTTACATGTCGAATGGCATGATTAGGCAATTTTAGCGGCACTGGCAATGTCTAGAAGTGAAGTTAAATCATAGAAGAGTGAAAGAAAACCTTCCTTTTGTCCCCTAGTTGACCTGCTGTTAAGTATTTCCTATTGCCGGTCACCGCTATTAAATTGTATATGGAAGGAACTGATAAATACAGCTTCTACCTTGATTTCCTTTTTGGTTTTGCTGGTTTGCTTTGCTTTTGGTTGGGTTGAGGTCTTTTGAATTTCCCAGATCAATGTTAAAACTCTAGAGATCAGATTTATGTCATTGTCATGGTTCAACTCTTGACACGATGACATCTGCATTTATGGACTCATTCTTCGGGCTGGAATTTCCATAAATTGTCCTGATCTTTGTACGAGTTTCTTTATCATTGCAAAGCAAGCTCTCCTGGTGTTTCCGTCAACCACCTAGGCTATTCCATACTCAATTATTTTAACTTGATGAGATTTAATGAGTTCATGTGTTGACATTGTTATTTCCTGTCGCCACTTGAGCTAATACACAATTATCTTGAAGGGAGATGCACTGATTCTCATTGTTTGTCCAAGTTAAAATCGACAACAAGTTAATTCTTTAACCATCACACCCCTGAAAATTAATCTCTCTTTACTGACAATGGTTTTAGCTGCGAAATTCTTGACAGACACAAGTGCTCAGCATGCTACAAGCAATACAAGAAAAAGGAGCATCTTATTGCCCACATGAAGGTCTCCTACCACTCTGTTCATCAGCCCAAATGTGACGTTTGCTATAAGCACTGCAAATCTCTAGAGTCATTAAGAGAACATCTCACTGGTGAATATCATTCCTCACTTTCCATCATCCAGCAGTGAAGGATTCTTTATCTTCTAATTGCTGTATTGCTTTCTATCATTTGTGGCATAGGTCCTTTGCCCAAAGCAAATTGTTCGAGCATTTTCTCTGAGCGAGGATGTGATCTTTGTCTGAAACTTTTTGATAGTCCGAGTGCCCTTACTGAACATAGAGAAACATGTTGTCTGCCTGCACCTCGTCCATTTGTAAGCAATACTATTAGCAAGTAAAGTTTGAAACTTAGAATGAGGGTGGCTTTAGTAGTTATGATTTTACGAAAATTACGTCAAATGTGGGTAGTCCATTGATCATTAACTTTGTTGACCATCTGCAGGAGACAATTTCTGTATCTTCTATAGACTGTCAAGTCCATATTTCTGATCCAATTGATGGATGCAACTATGATGACCGGCAACAAGGAAGACCTAAGGCAATTGTCCTGGATTGTGAGATGGTGGGTGGTGGTAGTGATGGATCTCTTGACCTTTGTGCTCGGGTATGCCTTGTTGATGAAGATGAAAACTTGGCTTTCCACAGTTATGTACAGCCCCAAATTCCTGTTACTGATTATAGGTACATCTGCACTTGAGATCCTGTGATTTTTCTGATTTGGTTTACTGAGATTTTATTTGGGAAGTAGGGGGAGGTGAGGAAAATGGGAGGTGGGTGCAGAAAATGGAGAAGAATTCATAATTTTGTGTGAGAGGAAAAGAGGGGCAAAGTTTTAAATTTTTCTTTCCCTCCTAAAGTTCCCCAATCCCAAAAAGAATGAGTGTCTAATCCTCTGGAAATTATGAGTGTTTTCAGATATGAAGTAACCGGGTTAACAGAAGGGCAACTCAGAGACGCCATGCCACTAAAGGAAGTCCAAGAAAGAATATTGGAAATTTTGTACAACGGCGAGTCTATTGGAAAATTAAGGTTAGATGGAGGAAAGGCCAGGCTATTGGTTGGTCATGACATAGAGCATGACCTGGACTGCTTGAGAATGAACTATCCTGATCACTTGCTGAGGTATGAGGTGTTCTCTTTAGTTTAATTAATGGATAAAAAAGATCATCAGTTTCCATATGGAGGAAGATGCAGGGCAAACATAAACAAGAATGTGGTGACACATGCATCTTGTTACCTTTACCTTTTCTTAGTTTTAGGTATTGCTTGGATGTCTCTTGAACAGAAAACTGTGTTTGTTATCCTTGGGCTGATAATATCTTTCTGTCACAGCTACTAGTTACTACGAACCAATGTGAGATGCGGTTCTTTGTTATTGTAGCCTTTCTTTACAGAGAAATTGAGTTTTGTCTTAGCGGTAACTGCTCATCAAAGTATCTTATATTTGGTATATATGCAAGTCCACTTTTCTCTTGGATTGTGTTTTTGGACACATGCATTTGCAGTGCATGGTCAATTCAAGTAATCAACTTTAAATAGAGAATTCCCTCACCAATTCAGCCAAAACAGAATTGCAGAATTGCATGTGGAGACTATTGCAGAAATCATTTCTCTATTTGAAACAGAATTGTTTGATATGCCGGTCTTATGGAAATTTAGACCAGATTCTTAGCTGAATTGTCTAAAGATAATCTGTTTGATGAGAGAAAAACATATCGTGGTGCTGAGTGTCGGTGCTGGGCACTGATCCTTCAGTAGATTCTGGCAACAGATAACAGAACCCGTGATGGTGGGGTCGGTGATGGTGGGGCTGAGGAACCAGTAGGGTCAACGGTGATGGTGGGGTCGGTGGCTGTGGTGGTGGGGCTGAGGAATTAGGGTCTTCTAACCTTGCTCTGATACCATGTTTGATGAGAGAAAAACATATTGTATTATTCTAATCAAAGGGATTACAAGAATATATATAAGTAATCCTCTAAACATAATATGACTATTCTACCCTCATTAACTTATTTCCTAACATCATCCAATCGTTTTTTATTCAAGCTGGATTAATTTACCTGTTCCCTGCATCTATTTGAATCTGATAGTTGAAATACAGTCCCAGAAAGCAGTTTGTTGACTTGTAGTGAACCCTGTGTAGCTGAAGCCACAGGATATCTTGTTGCTGCTGTTTCTGTATTTGTTACCAATTGCAATGCATAATTTACTTTTGACTTCCATACTAGTAACTTATATTCTGTTTTATAATCTACATTACATAGTACTTGTGATGTGACAGCTTTTCATAAATCAATCAGCGGTGTGCTGCATGTACTTTACATGCCAGGCCATCTGAAAAATGGAAATATTACTATTGGGGTTCTTGTGTGATGAGTGTTCTGAAGCTTTTTTTGTTTATCAATGGAAAAATTATTCCAAAAGGTTACAAATATCTTAGCTAAGTGGACGAGCCAGTGCGCTTGCATCACTTGCTTTCTGTTAAAGTTTCCGATGCTTCAGACTGCCTAAGTGGTACTTTGTATTCAACTAATTTTAAAACACTGTAAATCACTTGAGAAAGCCAGAAGAACATCTCTGGAACTTTTGTCGATTTTTGAGTAATCAGAGGGTTATTTTTCTTCACTCTTCTGGCCGTTATGATTATTTGGTCTAGTAATCAGGACAGCCCTATGCCTCAATAACAAGTAGTGGGAGCATATTTATTGATTTTGTGCAGTTAAGAGAGAATAAAGAGCTGTATGCTTATCAAACAGTGTTAGCAACCTGGTGGCTGTTTTAGAGCATCTGTTTTGTGAATGAAAAACAAACTGAGTCCCATCTTTTGGCTTTCTCTTAAGTCTTAACTACACTATGATAAATGAACGTACTTTATTTCAATTTAACAGAAGGTATATTGGAGTCTCTTCCCTCCTAAAAGGGAGAATTAAGAACACCATTAACCTGATTATATGAATGTTTCTTTCCTTTCAAAGTGAAGTTTGCAATTCCTTTTTTGTTGTACCATTTTTATCTTACAGTTACTTCTTCAAAATGCAGGGATACTGCCAGATATCGTCCATTAACAAAAACAAATTTAGTTAGCTACTCGCTCAAGTACCTCACCAAGAAATATCTGGGGTGAGTTTTTCTTTTTCTTTCTTTTTTTGTTTTTGCTTATACTGGTTTTGGAACCCAGCAAATGCCCCTAAACCCACTCCATCCTCACCAACAGAACCAAATGCCTGTTGCCAGATCTAGGGTGAGTTCCTTGTTTAACTGCCCCGGTTGTGGTGGCATCGAATCTTATTTTGTCTACAAGGTAGTCTTGACTTCTTATATTATCATCATGCTCAGAATAGTGTTCAGATACTAACGAATAATCCTTTTCCAAACCTTTGTGATTTATTTGGCTTTCGAGTTTTCTCGCTTTCTTTCTAGAATTTGCAATTCCCACTTTAAGTTGTAACGACTCTTGTCACTGATGAAATTATTGTGCGTCTATATGGTTGTAGAAGAAGGGCGATTAACAAAAATTCATATTATAATGCTACATTTGCTCTGGAAATTAACCATGCATGATGCCATTCGACATCACACACCACAAAATGAATATGTTATTTGCTTGATAGCAGGAGTATTCTATTCATAGATGCTGATAAGTATCAAAAAGTTGCTTTGTCATATGATTTTAGGGTCTATTCTCTCCACCATGTAATCTTTCTTGGGTTCTGATTATTCTGCTGCGTCCATGATTATCTTGCTTTGCACTTAACAGGTACGACATTCAGTGCAGTTTGCATGATCCATATGAGGATTGTGTCTCCGTGATGAGGATTTACAAGAGAATGCGTGCTCAAGACCATCGATTGGAAGGAGCTAAAGTATCTACTTTGCTTGATGATGGGCACAACTTACTCAGAAACTTCGAATTTTCAAATAAGGAACTCGAGAAGATGTCACCAGATGAGCTTTATGAGATATCCAGATCAAATTATAGATGCTGGTGTCTGGATTCGAAACGGGTGCTATGACAAATAGCTAGTGCTCCTTTTCAGTTTCTTCAAGAATACTTTGGTCATTGGCATCGTTCACATTTATGTTTTTGCCTCATAGATTCCCTTTCAAAGGGATCGAATCCATGCGGTTTAGTACATACCTATTCACTATAGGCTTCAGGCTTCAAAAAGGAACAGATTTCGAGGGGAAAAGTTTTATGATCTTTAGGATTAGGAGTGTAAATAACAGTATTCCATTCTCTCTTATGATTCGTGTTTTGTATCCCTTCTTTCTAACAGTAAACGCTGCAAACTGTCATTAACTGTGGTCTGAGATCTGTGATTTGTCTCAGAGACGTCTGGTTATGTACCATGTACTGAGAAGAGAAGGTTGCAACGGAGGCCTTAGCTGCTCCGCTCTTTTTGGGTTATTCACTGAGAATGGGAAGGAAGAAAGCGAATTGGTAAATTGCATCATGAGCTTCGTCTATGTCCCGACCTGTGCGGCTTATGGAATGATATTGTTCCTGGTCACTGGTTATAGAATAAACTAGATGAACTTCGTGCAGAGTCTGACAATATCAGTGGGCCTTTTCTTCTCTCCTGTCAATTTGTTTGACAATTTAGTAATCTCTGCTGCTATTTCCTTTCACCAGGGTTCAACGGGACCTTATTTGGTTTCTTGTCACTGCCATTGCAATTGCAGGATGCACCACCATCTGACTGAAGGCCTCAACAAAGTTTCCTCATAACATGGCCAACTGTTGGTGACCAAAAGATGTTGGTAGAAAAAAAAAATCATCTTTACAACTTGCAACTGTCTGGACTCTGGTTTAGTAACTAGAGCATCTTGTGTTTAGACAATAATGCAACATTGTGATAGCAACCTTATGTTTTGGATGATGCGCCCGAGCACAACGGAAGGAACTTCATCGCCGGCACTGAGGAATCCGGGTCGAAGTCCCTACTCCATAGCTCGACTTCTCAAACCTTGACGTCTTGTCGGAGATGAACTTATATGGAGTGCTCAGAGCGGGCCGATCAATTTATCGGCCTTCTTTTCGTTGTATTACACACTGAAAATCAACATATAATACACTATCTTCTCTAGTATGTTGAATCCTAGGGGATAGCATACATCTAGCTTTTGCACTCTTTGAACGGGGGAGATTATTTTCGACATCGGTGTCTGCACACCTCAGATGATCTTCGTTTCCCGTTTTTTAGCAGTGGTTCTCAGGGTATTTCACCACATATTATGGAGCAAGGGTTCTATAGCTCAAAGGCTTTATCAAGGTTAATTTGTATCTTAACCTAAGTCTGAGGTATCTATTTGATTGAGAAAATTATCCAAAAAGTCGTAAACCTAAATTTGGTTCTAAATTTTTCAATTTTGCCAATTTAATCATAAATATTTTCATGTTTTGCCAATTGAGTTTACCCAGTCAATTTTTCCAGGAAATTGCTAACGTGAACACCGGGCGGCTATTCTACATGGCATGGCTTGTGGACATTTTTAAATAATATTTTAATGACTTTTTAGAAATTTTCTTTTTTTTCTTTTTTTTTCCCTTTTCTTTACTTTTTTTTTTTTAGTTTTGGAGAAATGGCCGACGCGATAGTCACCGGGTGTGGGTGGCCCTCACCGGCTCCCGGCGAGAGCCATGACACCCTCATCGCCCAAAGCAAGGGCATATGAGCCCTTGCCCAAGCTTGGCAAGGGCTTTGATGCCTCACCTGGCCAGATTTGGTGAGTGAGGGCACGCGAGCCCTTGCCTAGATCTCGCAAGGGCCACGATGCCCTCACATAGAGTGGGAGAGGGTTGCCGGCCATCCCTCCAAACAACAAAAGACAATAAAGAAAAGGGGAAAAATTCTTAAAATATTATTAAAATTGTTCACGTTAATGTTGACCGTGCCTTGTAAGATGATCGACGTTCTCTTCAGCAATTTTTGGCCAAAATTAATCGGATGGGCTCAATTGGCAAATTGTCAAAATGTTTAGGACTCAAGTGATAAAATTGAAAGGTTTAGAACTGAATTGACAAAAGCACAATAGATTTATGACTTTTTGGACAATATTTCCTATTTGATTCGCTAATTTGTAACATCTTGTAGAAAACTCAAGGAGAGGAAATACTCAATTGGATCTGGGTCCAGCGGACCAAATAAATCACCAGCGCTATTTTCGTGAGACCGACACGTAGCTTCACGTGGGATCCACAAAATCGACGGAGGTGACACACCCTATCTAGTGGGACCCTGGGGAGGTGCCCCAAAGTCCAAACCGTGTGAGAAAGGTCAAAGGATAAAGAAGAAAAAGCATTGGATAGGCGGTTCTAAATCCGTGTGCTTCCTTGATGAAGAGTTCTCTGTTGCCTATTCAACTTCTGTAGTTTTGGCATCAGAATTATATCTTTTCAAAAGCATATCACAACGTTGGAACGACCATTCCGATATAATTTCACGTACCATCAAATGCAAACGATTTTCATATTTCGATCATCCATCCCATTCCGATCGAATTTTTCCATTCCATTCCATCATGCCCAACGCAATCGATTTATTTTTTTTTAAAAAAATACATATATAATCATCCACGGTCCGTCCGAATCGGTGTTTTTTTTTAACCTTTTTACCTCTTCAAAATGTTGCCGCATGTTGCCGCATGCATTACGATCTCAAAGCCTTTTATGAAGCTAAAGCACTATGAAATGGGCTAGCCAAAGCTTCGACAAAAAGTCAAACTTCCGTCTAAAAGGCCCAAATTAATTAAAAGCTACAAAAAGTAGGGCCCAAAAGTGAAAGAGACCTCCATTGATGACCGGTCAAACCTTCACACGAAACACAAAGACCCAAATAAAATAACGGAAAATGACACTAACGTTGAATTTTGGGCCAATGCTTTAACGTTACCCAAGACTTTCTAGTTTATTCAATATAATTTTTATTCATGAAAATTTTAATTTATTAAATGCGATTCTTAACGTTCAATGTAATTTTTAAATTATTTAAAAATAATCAATATGATCTCTATTTAAAGTTTATGAATTATATTGAATAAATTAAAAGTTCAGAGATTACGTTAGACATTGAGCGAGAGCTTATGAATCGTTTGTGTTATTATATAATAAATAAAAAAAAATTAAAGAAAAAAAAGAGAAAAGAAAATTCCCCCGCGCCCCTCAAGACTGACCTTCTTGTTCTCTTCCCCCTCTCTCTCTCTCTCACTCCCCACGCCAAAAGATTCACTCTTTCACGCCCGTTTTCTCTCTCCTCCTCCTCCTCCTCCCTCCGCCGCCGCCGATCCCTCGCCTGAAGAAGGAGGATAGGAGCGGGGGAATCGATCGCCGCCGCCAGATGGCCGCCGTGTCGGCGCAGCGCCAGCGGGGGGAGCTGTGGGGCGCGCTGCTGGAGATGACGAGGTCGGCGCAGGAGAAGAACAGCGACCCGATCCACTGGGCGATCCGGCTCAGCTCCAGCCTCGGCTCCGCCGGCGTCCCCCTCCCCTCCGCCGACCTCGCCCACCTCCTCGTCTCCCACATATGCTGGGACAACCACGTCCCCATCGCCTGGAAGTTCCTCGACAAGGCCCTCGCCGTCGGGATCGTCCCCCCCATGCTCGTCCTCGCCGTCCTCTCTTCCAGGTCCCCGCCTCTCTCTCTCTCTCTCTCTCTCTCTCTCTCTCTCTCTCCCCCCTTCTTTCTTCCTTGCTTTTTCTTTTCTGGAATTTGCCAGCGTGACGTGCTCGGTTTAGCTGTTCCGCCTAGAGTTTAGAGTAGGTCGTGGGAGCGTGGTTATAGGGAAAGCCGCTAATTTTTGGTAGTGTCGCCTTTTGTTTCTTCTTCTTCTTCTTTTCTAGTATAGGTAGAGTTTCTTATGTAGCGATTGATGACAGTTTTAGGGCATATAGCGCGTGGGGACTTTTTTGTGTAGTAGTTAAAGCTCGGTATTGATGAGCTCTCTTCTCTCTTCACCGCTTGTGAATATGAATCTATCGTTTTCCTGAAGTGGGTCCTCGTGGGGCGACGATGATTAGCGCTAAAAGTAGAAACTTGATACTCGTTTTACGTGTTTGAGGGACTTGTTATTACAAGAGACCCGATAACGGTTCGTCCTGGTAAAAGAAATCGGCAAACTTGATAGTCACAGTTCTCGAGTTTGCATATATATCTGCGTTTCGCTGATACGAAAGTGGGAACAAGTCGAAAAGAGTTTTTGGTGTTCGACATGAATTCAAGAGGAGCGATATAACACAACCAACAAGTCTACGGTCCTCTGTGATGTTAAGAGCTTGGAAAGCATTTCTGGGAAGCCTTCAGGTTACTAAGTATCGTGGTTGAAGGCTAAGCTTTTATGATTATGTTAATACACGCGCTTATTGTGTAGGAGCATAACGAACTTCTGTTTTCTGGTGCCCGTCGATTTATTTACAATTTGAGGGTTTGTTCACTGTGCACATGCATGACAGTCTACATGAATCACCTGCAACTTCATTCTTATATTTCCTTGCGGGCATGATGAGTTTTTCTGTGTTACGCTAGATTGTCTGGACAGATCATACTAAATAACATAATTCCCTTTTTATTCTTTTTTTTTTTTTTTCATAACTACAGGGTGATTCCCAGTCGGCGCACCTATCCTACAGCTTATAGGCTCTATATGGAGCTCCTTAAGAGACATGCCTTTTCATTTGGCTCTCTAATAAATGGGCCAGATTATCAGGAGTAAGTGAATACTCTCTTACATAGGTTCTATATTACATCTAATTTGACATATATCTGGTACACCGTAGTTGAGGTCACTGAAAATTCTTGTATTCTCTTCTTTCTGTGGCAATTAACTATGCTTTGAATGGAAAAAAAATTGAAATGATAGCACTCATGATTAGATACTAACATTGACTGGGTGGTATTGAAATGATGATGGTTTTTACGTCGAGCATTTCTAAAACTATAATGAGCATCCTATTGACCTAGAAAAAAAAAATGATAAAACATGAGAACTCTCTTTAAAGGTTATATGCAGATGATCTGCCCCCGTACTGCACGTTCCATTGCAGAAAGTATAGACACCTTTCTTTTCAATCTCGTCATTGTGCATTTTGTTCGTTTTGCATGTTGTCTATGCAGGGTTGGCTCACGCTACAGTTTTTCCTCTGGAAATATTTCTTTTCTTTCAATAGCTCATACTTTTCAGGGGGGAAGTCGATTTGACAATTCTTATTACTTTTTGTCTCATAGTTTAGGGTCACTTTCACAAGACAATGGCTATTCATGTCGATCTACTTCCTGGGAATCAAGTAACACCTGTTTTTTTAGAAATCTGTGGCAGTCCTGGAAATTGAAAAAATAGGGATTTCCCGTTTGAGTTTCATGCTGACTTAAGTACCCAATGTGAAGCTTTATGTGCGTAAATGTGGCCGTGATTGTCCGCACAACTTTATAACTTGCTAATGTTCACATCCTTAGCACAACTATATAATTTGATAATGTTCGCATCTTCATGGATTAGGCTTCCTTGAACTCGCGGGGATTCTTGCTGTTTGTGTCGTCATGGGCCTCCGTCCACTCTCTATTAGAGGATAAGATTAATCTTGGACTAGGTTGGAGAGTTATACCACAAGAATTTATTGTTTTAAGGAAGGTTACTATCTTTGGTTCAATGTAATAATTGGCTCCTTAACTAAATAAATGTTGAAAGAAATATTTTGTATGCAAACTCCCAGTTAATGTGGTTGTCAAGGTGAGTTTGGTTCTACACAATTGGCATATTAAGGGTGTTATCTGCATGTTTAAGAGGGGTAGACTTCTTGCGCTACAGTTTTGAAGTTATTTACATTTGTGTGGTCTTGAATTGTGCAATAGGTTTCCTATCTCATGCTAGTCTTGTGCCTATATATGAAGTGAATGAGTGTTTATATCTCGTGATCCTGCAATGTACTCCAAATTCATGGTTGAGAATTTTCTCTCTTACATCGTTTCTTACTTGTTATTTCAGGGTCATGAAATCAATTGACAACGTTCTTGATCTTTCCCAGATATTTGGTCTTGAAGCGTGTGAGCCTGGGATCCTAGTTATGGAATTTGTTTTTTCACTTGTATGGCAGTTACTTGATGCATCATTAGATGACGAAGGATTGATTGAAATGACTCCAGAAAAGAAGTCTAGATGGGCAACCAAACCACTGGATATGGATATTGATGGTCAAGATACCTTTATTGGAAAGGAAACAGAACGGCAGGAGATGTTGCACAAAGCAAATACTTCAATGGCTATTGAGGTGATTGTAGCGTTTCTCCAGAACACAGTAACTGCAAGGATACTTTACTTGGCACGACGGAACATGTACTGGTCTATTATTGCAACTCATCTATTTCTCCTCGTGCATCACAATGTTTTTCACCACAAAATGAAGTCATTATCGTGTGATGTTAGAAGTATATTGTGTCAGAAGATTGTGAGCTGTGATGATTAAACCGGAAGTAATTCTTCTTCACATGTTCTGTCTGTGTAGGCCACCGCATTGGGTCGGTTTTATTCAGCGCTTGCGACTACTAGCAGCAAATTCAGTAGTGCTGAGGAGTTTGAAACACATAACTCCAGAAGCACTTTTGCAGTTGACGTCTGATAACCGTAACGTCTTAACTCGGGAAGGCAAGACCGTATCACAGCAAGAATTTCATGCAGTTACTGCTTCTGGTTCTCTGATATCATCTGCGGGACAATGCCATGGGGCTAGCCAATCTGCTCTTTGGCTTACTATCGATCTTTTTCTGGAAGATGCCATGGATGGTTCACAAGTTACAGCTACTAGTGCTGTTGAAATGCTTACAGGTGCAAATCACTTATTTATTTGTTAGAATTATTAATTATTTTGGGAATTCAAGCATCATAGAGCCTTTATCAATATTTTACTTATATGGAGTTGTCGCTTTGCAGTTTTAGCAAAGGCTCTTCGGTCAGCTAACAATACTACATGGCACGATACATTTCTAGGTTTATGGATTTCAGCATTACGCCTTGTTCAAAGGGTAGGTATTTGGTGCCTTTTCATTAAATTTTGCTGGTGTGATATTCTGACAGAAAATATGTTGAAGGGAAAACTAACACTTAAGCCTTACCTTTATACCAAGAGTCACTTTGGCCTACTGTTTCATTTCTTCTAATTTTGCTTGGAGCTGATCAAGGCTCCATTTGTTTCGTGGAAAACGAATGATTTGGAAAATATTTTCTTAAAAATGATCGAATGTATCGCTTACAAAAATGAATAAATGAAAATAATTTCATCGTTTACAAAAATGTTTGGACATAAATTGTTGTGGATAATGAAAATATTTTTTCAACCATAAAGAAATGAAAATATTTTTTATTGACTAATTATTTCAAGCAATATAAGCAATTATTTTTGAAAAATGTTTTTCAAATCATTCATTATCCACGAAACAAATGGAGCCCAAGTCTACATGACTTTTGGAGGGTATAATCTGATTTTGTAGCATCATTGTGGCTTAGGAGGGTCTTTTGATGGCAGGCATCTCCATTATCTATATGATTTATGCGATTTTTCACCATTATTTAAAATTCCGTGGAGCTGAGTTGGGCTCTTTTGTCTGTCCATGCTTACTATAGGGAACTGTCGAGAGATTATAATTTAATATCATAAGAGAAGTTAAATAAATTGATGCTTTCAACATGTTATATCTTTTCTGATTTACACATCTGGGCGAAGCATAGGCTTTACTGTGAAATAAGCAAAGGAAGCATCATTTTCAAGACATTAAGAACTTCCCGTGCTCCTCGTCTCAAGAAATGAAAAATATGCTCATTCAGTTCTCTCGTTTGGTTTTTTTTTTTTTATTACTATTCTTTTTCAGGAAAGGGATTCCACTGAGGGTCCTGTACCTCGCGTGGACACCTGTTTGTGCATGTTATTGTCTGTCACAACGCTAGCAATTGCTGGCATCATTGAGGAAGAGGGAAGCACTATGGAACATACTGATGTTGTAGTTTGTTATCGAAGGAAAGAGAGGCATTCTCAGGGAAAGCGTCGTAAAGATTTGATTTCAAGTTTACAACAGTTGGGTGACTATGAGGGATTGATAACACCTCCTCAGTCTGTTTGTTCTGTAGCCAATCAGGCTGCTGCAAAAGCGATGATGTATATTTCAGGTCTTACTGCAGGGAATGGATTCTATGAGTGCATAAGCATGAATGACATAGCAATGAACTGTTGTAAGTATTAAAGTTTCTTTCTCTAATACGTTGGTGTCATTAGCAGGTTTATACTTTTGGTATGTGGTCAAAATGAATTTAGCAGACATCAATGGACCAGATCAAATAATTGATGATGTAGCTTCATTTTCTGAATTAACACCTTACAGAGATCATGATGGGCAGTATCATAATCCTTGGTGTCTGCAGCTGACCAATTTCTCAGTGTTATCCATTCTGGCGCACTGAAATATCTATGTTTCATGGCTGATAGCTTCCCTCTTTGATCTACTTCTTCTGAAATTCATATTGCTCGCAGCTGGAAACATGCGGCATCTGATTGTCGAGGCTTGTATAGCAAGAAATCTACTCGACACGTCTGCATATCTCTGGCCAGGTTATGTGAATGCTCGCAGCAGTCAAATACCTCGAAATATTCCAAGTCAAGCGCCTGGCTGGTCATCATTGATGAAGGGGTCACCTCTGGCTCCCTCATTGATAAGTACTTTGGTTTCAGTTCCTGCTTCAAGGTATGCTACTGCCACATGTATGTTTCTTTTTATTGTCGACTTTTTATATACGTTTTTATTGTTGCAAATGTGTGTATGTACATAGGCTGTCTGATTTAGTCTCCTATAGTGTTTGTATAGTTCCAGAATGAGCTAACATTTTCCCCTTTGGCAGAGAAATTGTACGTTTCTCCATTATCAAAAATTAAGTCGCTTATTGTCAGTTAACTCAGTTTAGGTTGATGATCCCCTATTTCATAATAAGTTTCAATTTGCATGCTTTTGCACAGATGCTTGATGAAATCGATATATTTCAAGGGCAGAAACTAGGATTTGAAAGTATCATCTTATACTAAAAAAACACATAATAAATAGGTTTTGCTCTTTCTAGTTGTCATTGTCAACCTCAACTCAGTGGTCCATTTGGTATCTGTTTACTTGAGAAACTCATGAAAATTGGATTGAGGATGTGGAAAAATTTTTGTGGCAGAGTGGCAGGTATGTCTTTCCTTTTCTTTGCTTCCTTCTTTGATACAAGTTGTTTTATGAAAGGTAATAGCAACTAGAAAAAAAGGAGAGTGTGTGTCGTGTGAGGGGTTGGGGTTGAGAAGAAATATGAAATTAACCACGAGATGCACTGAGAGTTTGGTCGAACCTCGGTTTTCACTATGACGTGGTCTTCAGTCTGGCCCGTATTTTTGCTAAGCTGATTTATAAGTTATTATCCAGTGGTATGGATTATGGAAACTGATATTAGCTCATGGATTTGATGGAAGCTTAGCAGAGATTGAGAAAATATATGAGATTGCTCTCAATGGCTCTGAAGAGGAGAAGATATCTGCTGCTACCATTCTCTGTGGAGCATCTCTTGTTCGTGGTTGGAATATACAGGTATATGCTGGCAGGCTTTTTTGGTCTCGTTAGAGAATTACACTGAAGCACGTAATCACATACTTTTCTGTACTAAATCAAGGTTAATGTCTGTCCTTGTTGCCTGCAGGAACACACTGTTATTCTAATTACGAGATTGCTGTCGCCTCCAGTTCCTCCAGATTATTCAGGACCTGAGAGCCATTTGATTGGTTATGCTCCGTTTCTTAATGTTCTTCTTCTCGGAATATCATCAGTGGATTGCGTTCAGATTTTCTCTCTGCATGGTTTGGTAGGTTGAACAAGAGATTTGCATTCTTTTATGCTAGTGTGTGAAAAAGAAAATTAAGTTGAAATCGAATAAAAAATGGATGATTCTTATTTGGACTTGAAAAGGTAATATCGTGTCAAAAAGTGATCCAAGGAAATTTTAGGCTGAATGATTGAAAACTTGAAGCTGGGAATTAGTAGTGGGCATTTAGTGGGGAAGTGAGCCACTTTTAACTTTCCAGATAAAATATTTGGCCCATCGCTCTATGTGCCAAAGAGGCATATTCCAGTTAGGAAAGGGTACTTTGAGCATCTTCATGATTTGTGATATATGATGTTGAAAGCGCAGTACTTGCATCTACTTGGGAAGCATCTGCTTTCTTACGGTATCAGGAACTCATGCCAATCAAACTCAATTCTCTTGCAACAATGCATAAAAGTTGGGAGTTGGCATCTTATGTATATGTTGTGCAATTCCCATTTGTGATCAAGTAGTTTATTTTCACATCCATTCAGGTTCCACAGCTTGCTGCTGCATTGATGCCGATCTGTGAAATTTTTGGGTCAACTGTTCCGAATGTCTCATGTGCTGGTATATCAGGGGAGGAACTGTCCTCTCATGCGGTGTTCTCAAATGCATTTACACTTCTGCTGAGGCTGTGGAGATTTGATCACCCACCTCTTGAGCATGTGATGGCAGATGTGCCACCTGTAGGAACCCATTTAAGTCCCGAATATCTCCTATTAGTTCGAAACTCCCAATTAGCATGTTCTGGAAATTCCATGAGCGATCAGGTTAGAACCGAAAGCCTCTCTGGCACTCTGGTCCCATCACCTGTGGAACCTCTTTTTATGGAATCCTTTCCAAAACTTAAACGCTGGTATAGGCAGCATCAGAAATGTATTTCATCCACCCTATCTGGTCTTGTACACGGCACCAATGTACATCAGATTGTAGAAGCCCTCCTCAGTATGATGTTCAGAAAGATAGTTAGAGGTGGTCCTGTGACACCTACAACTTCAGGAAGTAGTAATTCATCTGGGTCTGCAGCAGAGGAATTAGCAATCAGACTCAAAGTTCCTGCTTGGGATATTCTGGAGGCAACTCCATTCGTCCTTGATGCTGCTCTGGCAGCCTGTGCCCATGGAAGGGTCTCCCCTCGCGAGATGGCTACAGGTTTGTCTTCAACTTGTACAACATCTAATATACACTGGCTTGTTCGATGTCCATGCACTGAGTTAAAAGTGCAAATACACATGCTCAGATGTAATGTAGTCATTGTATGAAAGTCTGATATGTCAAAGCCTTGATAATGCAAAGCATAAGGAGACATGACTCTTTAGCCTTTACTTCCTGAGATCTCTAGATTGAAGTCAAAGTCTTTCTTCATGTTCTTGAGATATGGTCTCTTTTCAAGCTAATCTTGGATCTTTTATTCACGTTCCTTAGCTGAGACTCCTTTTTCTGGATGTTCACACTTAGTCGCTGCTGGTAAACGTGATTTAGTATGATCTCTCTCTGTGCCCTCATGATTGAAGGTCCTCAAGTTAAACTCTAGTCTCATTATGTTTGCCTCCTCTCTGGGGCTAGTTCAATCAAGGCAGTACTGATGCAAGAGCAGAATATTGAAGCAACCCTCCTTTTGTCTTGCTAATGTTCTCACTGCTCTGTTTCAGGTCTAAAGGGTCTCGCTGATTTTCTTCCCGCCTCCTTGGCAACAATTGTGAGCTACTTTTCCGCAGAAGTGACCAGGGGTATATGGAAACCAGTTTTTATGAATGGAACTGATTGGCCTAGCCCTGCTGCAAATTTATCAACAGTTGAGCAGCAAATTAAAAAAAATATTGCTGCTATTGGTGTTGATGTTCCGAGTCTTGCTGTGGGTATGCATTCGTACTTAGTCTTAATGTTATCAGTCCTTGTGCAATAGCTAATTTACTTTTATGTACTTTGACTTTTTTTTTGCTTTTGCCTTCTTTTTTGGTTTTGGCAACTTTAATCTGAAGTGTGAAGGTAAAACTCATGCTATTCGAGTAACCATTTAACCTTTTAGAATGAGTTAATAGTTGGTTGGGCTATGACATAAATTCTTCATGGATATATAATGTATCAGCCACTAAACAAATTCTTCATTGCCTGAGGCTCAAACTAAAAATTTTGCAGGGGGAAGCGCTCCAGCTACACTACCTTTGCCGTTGGCTGCGCTAGTGAGCCTTACAATAACATACAAGCTTGATAAAGCCTCTGAACGTTTACTAACGTTTATCGGTCCAGCCTTGAATTCCCTGGGTGCTGGCTGCCCCTGGCCTTGCATGCCCATCATAGCCTCCTTGTGGGCCCAAAAGGTGAAGCGCTGGAGCGATTTCCTAATCTTCCGAGCTTCTCAAACTGTCTTCCACCATAATAGTGATGCTGTTGTGCACCTTCTTAAAAGCTGCTTCTCATCGACTCTAGGACTAAGCTCCTCACAAATTTCTAGCGGTGGTGTTGGTGCTCTTCTTGGCCAAGGACTCGGTACCCACTTCTCTGGGGGAATTTCCCCAGTTGCCCCAGGAATCCTCTATTTAAGAGTACACCGGTACGTCAGGGATGTCATGTTCATGTCTGAAGTGATTCTCTCTCTTCTGATGCACTTTGTTAGGGAGATTGCAACTAGTGGGTTGCCGAGAGAGAAAGCGGAGAAACTGAGGAAGACCAAGTATGGAATGAGATATGGGCAAGTCTCTCTCGCTGCGGCTATGACACGTGTTAAGGTCGCTGCTTCCTTGGGGGCTTCATTCGTGTGGATCTCTGGTGGGGTGAGTTTGGTACAGTCCTTGATCAAAGAAACTTTACCCTCTTGGTTCATATCGGGTCACAAGTCGGAGCAGGAAGGAGGCGATATGGGTGGTATGGTTGCCATGCTCAGAGGTTATGCCCTTGCATACTTTGCCCTTCTTTGTGGAGCATTCGCTTGGGGCACAGATTCAGCATCGCCAGCATCGAGGCGGCGACCAAAGGTTCTAGGAGCCCACTTGGAATTCCTTGCTAGCGCATTAGATGGTAAAATTTCGCTTGGCTGTGATTCGGCCACTTGGCGTTCTTATGTGTCTGGTTTTGTGGGCTTGATGGTGACCTGTGCGCCTAAATGGGTGCTAGAGGTTGATGTGGATGTCTTGAAGAGGCTGAGCAACGGGTTGAGGCACTGGAATGAAGAAGAATTGGCGGTAGCCCTGCTGGGACAGGGTGGGATTAAGGCAATGGGCTCGGCTGCTGAACTGATAATCGAAATTGGCTGCTAATTCTTGGGTCAGCCAGGGTGACTCGTTGTCTGTAGCACGGCTGTTTCTGTTAATCTATGGAGATGGCAATTTTGCATCAATTTGCAGTTAGTATAGCTTCCTTAGAGTAAAATCTATTGTATAGTATAAAGTAGGGAGTAGAGGAAAATTGTATTCTTCCGTTCTTGTAATCATAGGTATGTTACAGTAAATCAGATTGTATTCTTCTGTACCTTGTAACTATAGATATTTTACACTTGATTAACTAATTTTAAACCGTCAGTTTGGGTTATTGTGCTAATTTTTGTGTAAATATATGGAGTGAAGTTCTTCATTGGATAAGATAGCCTAGTCGTTGCACGTAGAGGAGCAGCAAGATGAGTTATGGTAGTGAGATGAGTTTATGCATCTTTCCGGTTGGCCGATGCGTTCCAGTCAATCTCAAGAAAGCTACTTCGGCTTTGATTACTTGTTATTCTTGAATTGTATAGGCCGAGTGAAGGAAAAAGAGCTCCAACATCCAATCTTAGTTAGGGCTTTACACTCGAGTGTTTCATATTCATTACAATCACTGAACGATAGCACCAGTGGAAACTCCTGCTGGACCAAGAACTGCAGTCCTGCTCGGAACCGACACTTTTGTTGGCTGACTCCAAATCAAGCAAGTCTTTTACATCAAATTAACCAAAAGCTTGCGAAGAAGCGATCCATCAGCACGAGAAACGGGCTTCAGGAGTGCCGCCGAAGAACAAGACATCCCCAATGATAGATTAGGTTGCCCGATGAACGTACTTTTTGAGATTGCCGTGATATCTTGTTCGATGTGAGGGATTCTACTTCAGAAAATCACTTTCCACAACTCGATCCTTCTTGTTCGACTAAATCCACTGAAATTGAGGCGGCATCAACTTCTGTAACCAGTGCAGAGATGCACTGAAACTTGCTATCTCTGGCTATAGAATCACCACAATGCTGTATGGTTTTGGTAATGTTCCTTGGAGGCGGCTCCAGCTGGTAGCGTCCTTGGTTTTAATTTTTCAGAAAGGAATGCGGCGTGGAGTGCTAACACTACAACATATCGGTCTCTGTATGCAATGAGGAGCGACAGATCAGAAAGGTCGGTCTTATTGCAGCGATCAACAGAAGAGGCATTGATTCCTAGCTGTCTAGTGCCTAGACGGCTCAAAAACCACCACTGCTTGGTATAGAAGATCATTCTGAATGGACTACTTGGGGACAAAAGTCTGAAGATCCTGTGGTTCGGCAAACAAGCAATCAGTTCCGATATGGTATTTGCAGATGAACTTTCAGCTTTGAAGCTCCGGTCATCTTCAGCACACTTTCCCCCACTTCTCTCTCTCTCTCTCTCTCTCTCTCTCTCTCTCTCTCTCTCTCTCTCTCTATATATATATATATATATATATATATATATATATATATATCAATTCTCAACAAAAGTATGCTAATTTGTGTTTTATGACTTATTGAAAACACCTGATTATTATCACTTAGCTTCACTCAAGCCTTTTTGCTTTCGCATATGCTACTTCCATAAGGCGCGAAAATGCAACACGGGTTGATGCTTCGTTTACATCGTGCACATGCTAAAGAAGAGACCAGATTGCAAACAAGGTAAAGAAGAGACTGAGGAGTTGAACCCAAAGCCAGGTTCTTATTTCGACACCTCTGCGAAGCACTAAAGATAGAGAATCGGGACATCAGACGCACCGGAACTTCATTTCTGAATGTTCATATTTCAACCCATCATCTTCTTCGTCAATAAAGCGTCCAGAAATAGCTGCAGATCAGGGAACTTTTCGCCGCTGTAGCTTCTCGAGAAGTTACTAGATCCGCCAGGAAGTTATGCTTGACCAATGAGGAACAATTGAGTTCGGCCATTGATTGATTAGTGTAATATAATTCAGTGTTTAGACCCTGCTCTCTGAACTGAGTTAAGTGCCCTTGCATTCCTCATCTACACAAAATCGAACGATTCCATGGCCTGTGGCTCCAAAACCAAGCATGATGTCAACCACCAGGATGGCGACGTCGTATAAACCAAACCTTGCGACCTTGAATTCGCGAACAATTCATGTCCTGCGGTACCCGAGAACCTGGAGTCTGGGTACGTTTAGCTTTCCATCTCCCAGTTCTTGATGTCGTGGGCCGGGGGATGTATGTGGTGTTAACCTGCCACGTAATACACCCACATTCACCTTCCTGCCCATTAGTGCCTAACCAGCCAGAACTCGGAGAAGTCATCAACAAGGTTTTCAAATGAGAGGAAAACAAGAAACAAACGAACAACAATGCCAAAAGTGAGGCCATGTTACCTGTAAAGGGAACCAGAGTATAGATGATAAAAGCCCTAAAAGGTAGAAGATGAACTAGAGTTTTATAGTAGCAGAAATAACATAACCTGAACATACATAATTAACCCAATATTTGTGGTGCTTTTGGTTGGCATTGTGACAAGAGAGGGCATGTAAAATAGGATTGTCTTAAGCTAAGACACGAAAAGGGTCATGGGATTAGAATTGGATTTACAGAAGATGTTGCAGTTGTAGCTTATTAGAATTAGGATAATGCTGATTATGTCTTGTCTGTCATTGAAGATTCATCATGATTACTGTATTATGGTTGTTCTTTTGCCTCTAAACTGAACAAGAATTGGTTTACAACGTGTCAATGCACTGATAGAGGTCAAGTGCTGTTGTAGACAGCGAGATGTTGTGGGTGTCAACTGCAAGTGCGATGGTGCTTGGAGTAATTGACACGTATGTTGCCATGATAGATTGAATTTAGTGAATGATAATCTCCATTAATGAGAACTCGGAAGGCATAAGCTACATGTGTTTGTTTACACTAAAAGCAAATAAGGCAAACAATATAGTTCTCTAATACAAAAACCCCAAAATTCGCCTTAGAATTCAAAAAACGATGATTAATTAGAAAAAGCAAAGCGAGGTTCCCTCTATGTAAGGTGTGCAAGTGATACTCACGAAACTATACAGTCCAACGAAGTGACCTTGGCATGCGAGATGGTTTGGAGTGGCTAATCCTATCCGAAATTCGGACGGGTACAATCTTTAATAATTTAAATCGAGAACGATTTTTAATGGAGTCCCAAACCCTCGTTTCGATTAAGTATATTTGACTAATCGTCTTTGATTCTATATTTATAAGTAAGTCTAATAATCCAAAATGAATAATGTAACCACCTAAATGGCAGTAGTATTTTAGCAGTGTATTTCTAAGGGGGAATCCCGATTCGTTTGGAAACCCAATTATTGGGGGTGAGCGGTTTCCGGTCCGGTCCGATCCGATCCAATCCAACCCAAGAACCGGGAAGCGGACCAGGAGGATCGGTTCCTAGTTTTTAAGACCGAGGATCGGACCGGCTAGTCTTGGGACCGTGGACTGGATTCCAATGGGACCAATATTAAATATTATTTGTGAACCGGGAACCGATTGTTCCGTTCTTTCCTTTGTAGTTATGATTTGATCTCATAAGGCCATGGAAAAAATTACAAATATATATAATATATGAAAAAATTGAACAATCGGTTCCAATGGGACCAATATTAAATATTTTTCATATATATATTAAATATTATATATATGAAATAAATTAGAAAAATATATATTTATCGATCCGATCCGGTCCGATTCCCACCCTAGAATTGGGAACCAGACCGCCCAGAAACCGGTTCCACTTTTAGGAATTGGGAACCGGACCGATATTCCCGAGAACCAGACCAAACAGGTCGGTCCGGTCCGGTCCCAATTTGGGCGGTCCATCTTGCTCACCCCTACCAATTATGACCCAAGAGGGTTTGGCGGTCGACATCTACCCGATTTTGACCGGGCCCATTATCATTCCTAAGGTCGCGTTTGGTAGTCAGGATAAAAGTTTGGATATGATAATATATATTATATCCTGTCTTTGGTTCTTGCCCAAAAGAGGTTAAAGTTGGATATAAGTGGAATATAGACCGGATAAAATTAGCCCACGAGAGGGTGGGATAAATGTGAATAAGATTTCTTATTTATGGTATAAAAGCTATTTTTCTCGAATAACAAAGTTCTTAAATAATAAAATAAAATAATAAATAATATTTGTATTTTAATATTCAAAAGAAAATTCAAAATAACAATAAAAAAATAATCTTCGTTTTATTTATATATTTGAACTTCTTTCTACTTTATAATATATGCTTTCCGTGTGTATAGTATCTATATTATTCCATATTTTAGCTATAATAGTATAATTTATTGTTTGAAATTTTTTTATTAAGGAATGATGGAAGGGAATAAAAAAAAAGATGGAAATATATTTAAAGAATAAGTAAATAAAATTGAAGTAGAAGAATCCAGTGAAATCAAATTTGAAAAGGATCTTTTCAATTCTCGAAGAATGAGGGAAAACGAAAATTCTAAATAAAAAAAACTATCCTCTCTGTCTCCGTCTCCTTCTCTTTTCACATTGAAGCTTGACGACTCCTCTGTAGTTTTAAGTTCACGTCAAAACTTCACGAAAACGACAAAAGAGTCCATATTTCTACTTTGTAGCTCTTTGGTTCGCACCAAAAGTCCACGAAAGTAGCAAGAGAGTCGGAACTCCTTCTTCTTCGTAACTTTATGGTTCATGTTAAAGTTTCACGAAAATAGCAATAGAGTCAAAACACTATACTTTTCGTTAATCTCAGAAGTAAGTGATCATATTTCCTCTCTCTCACTAGATTTGATGGTGAATTATGAGAGATTTTTACAATCTCCGTTCGTGCACTTTCAGGTTCATCTAAACAGATGATATCGTAAAATACCAAATAATAGATAGTATAGGATATGAAAATATCCGCCTTTATTACTGCGATTCAACAAACAGTAAATAAGATATAACAAAATCTCAAGATTTCACATCATATCTTTACTCAATTTTATCCCGACTAAAAATCCAAACAACTAAACGCGGGATAAGAGTGAAGGTTCAACAGCGCCATCCATCCGAGTATCTTATCCACGTAAAATGAAGAAGCTCTCCTCTTCTTGGTCGCCCGACACAATCCAAACACGAAAGCCCTGCTCGGTCATCCTCGGATCCATGTACGATGTCGGGTACTACGGTCTCTGCTTCGACGGTCGATGGCGTCACGTCCGGGCGCCCCGAAGGCTTGTAGAACGCACGCGCCGTCCGGCTTCCCCTGCTTCCATGACCACCAGAATCGCAGGGAGGGAGGGAGGGATGGATGATGGTACGCGTTCTTCGAAGGACGCTATTCGATCGACTGCTGAGACCTGCTGGAGCCGCGCGTTGAACTGAAGCTTTTGACTTCTTGAGAAGAACGGGCGATGATGGAAACAGACAAGAATGGCAACACTAATGGAAACCGTCGGTCAAAAGTATTGGGGGAAGAAGACCCGCAACGTTACAAAAAGAAATCGCGTCCGTACGATCTGATGGATCGAGAATCACTATGGCGGTCGCTACCTCACTGAATCGCTTCCCACCTACGGTACAGTCACGGAAAGAGAGAGAGAGAGAGAAAAAAAGGTCGAGATGTGATGCATCCCGACACCAATCAACGGCCAGGAAATCATCTCGTCACTCCGTGGGGCCCCCGCCATTCTCCGACAACCTCTTCCCCCGTGGAGCTCGTGCTCCCATCCGTGGCCGCCCTATCGTCACCCCCGTTGACCTCATCTTGGCCGTCCTGGTCTCCTTCCCTGTCCTCGTCCTCGTCCTCGTCGAACTCGCGGCCGCCGCCGCCGTCGTCGTCCTCGTCGTCGGACGACAGCGGAGCCAGCCAGCACGTGCCGTGCAGGTGCCCGTTCACGCACACGAAGTACTCGAGCCGCCCGTTCCGCGAGCCGAGCCTCCTCGCCGCGCTCCGCGGCACGAGCCGCGCCGTCGTCATGCTCCACACCCGGGCCCCGCAGTACGGGCACGCCCGGTCCTCGAGCTCCACCCGGCGTCCTATCAGGCAGGCCCGCGTCATCGAGCAGCTGAACTCCTTGAACACCCCTCGGTACACCCCGAGGTCGTCCTGATGCCCCCCGCCCTCCTCCTCCTCCTCCTCCTTCCCCATTTGGTGCTCGCACGGGTCGCTCATGTACAGCACGTCCCCGCGGCACCGCCTCGGCAGGAAGCTCCGCCCCGACGTCTTCGAGAACCGCGACGAGCTCGCGAAGTGCCCCGGCAGCTCCTGCCCCAGCCGGACGTTCCGGCTCGGCTCCGCCCCGCAGCAGAAGAACATGAGCTTCGCCACCGCCGGCCACCCCCCGCCGATCCGGCCCCCGCCCGGCGCCCCGCCGGTCAATGCCGCCACCATGCGCGGCGCGCGGTGGGCGCAGAGCTCCCGCCACAGCAGCCGCCTCGCGACGGCGCGGAGCTTCCGGTTCACCGAGGACACGAGGCAGAGCACGCGGAGGTCCCACTGGATCGACTCGAGGATGAGCAGGAGCACGCGCTCGTTGAGGATGCCGGGCTCCGGCGAGTCGGTGCCGCCACCCCCGCCGCCGTCGCCGCGGTGGTGGCTCGTTCTGAGTCGCTGGTTCGCATTCATTTCGGCGTCCGTTGGTGAAGCCGGTGTTGCCTACGGGGCTGGTTATAAACATCGGAAGCAGGGGAGATCTCCAGCGGGAGGACACGTGTCCCGTACGGAATGGGGCTAGCGGCTGCCGCGGATACCCCTCGGGGGGGAATGCGGGGGGTCACGTGGACGGCCGATATTGGGTCTGGGGACACGTGTAGGGCGGGCATTGCCCGGGGTTGCCGTGTGGGGGCGGAATCGAGGCGGCGCGTCACCGGAGGAGGGGGCGCGGGGCGCTTCGGCCGCCACGTGTCCGCGGATTCCAGATTCGGACGCATCTCTCTCCTCCTCCTCCTCCTTTTTTTTTTTTTTATATTATTCCCGCGGCTTCCTCGAAAATATCTGGGGTCCGATGTGTCGGGGTCGTGACGGAGGTCGGCGGGGGGGGGGCGCTGGAAATATCTGCGGGGCTCTTTTTGCATTATTAAAATTCGGAAATTCCCCCGCACGGCGAAAAAAAAAATTTACAAAAAATAAGGGCAATAATTCCTGTCTCCCTTCTGACAAAGCTGGGGCGGGCACGTGGAGGGGGACCGGATGGGACACGTGTGCTGGTCCGCGGGGATTCGATGGTGGGGTTCGTCCACGTGGAGGTGCGGCCACGTGGCGGCATGCGTGTTGTTCCGACCCGAAAAGTGTCGATCGTGGGGTGTGGTTTTCGGGTATTTATTTAGTTAATTTTCTGTTCATTTTTTCGATGGGGGACAAGAACCAACCCAACCAACAAGATGAGAGCAAAACAAATTTTTTTTCTTTCTTCTCTTTTGGTATTTATTGCTAAAAAATTTTGTCGGGCAAATGTCGTTTCGACATTCGCATTTTGCGCATCGAGTTTGATCGGGTTATCAATCCAACAGAGAGTGGGTTCCATATTAGGAGACCGATAACTTATCCTGTCATAATCGGTTTCTGATTTTTCGAAACCGAGAACTGAATTGATCGAGCCTGGAGCCGAAACCAACTGGACCCTAGTTTCGACAGAATATCAGACGGTACACGCCGAGCTCATTCATAGATGAATTCTATTATTTGTCCTTAGTTGAGCATTGTTAATCGATTGCGATGGCAAATTCCGGCAATTTCGCGCGCAATAGAATCTCACGCGCTTGCATGCCAACTCATTCCAGTTTAATAACATTAAATTACGATGCGAATGAACGGTCTGACAGAGAGGCCATAGGATTAGTCACATCTAAAAGTTGGCAACAAAAGGTTTCCTCTTGACAAAAGTCAAATTCTTGGTCGGTGACATAACACGTTAACAAGTAACTGCACGTTTTGAAAGAGAAAGAGGGCAAAAAGATTTACTTCACACACTTTCGACATATGGTAAAACCGGTCCCTCCACGTGACATTGACCTTGCAAATTATGAATCGTCCATTTCAATCTCGTTCCCTTTATAAAACTCAGCGACCACGTTTCATAATTTGCGCGCACGCGCACTTACGAACTGCGGCGATATGCAAAAGTTGCTATCGAATTCGATATGCGAAAGCCGGGGCGAGGTCGTCGTACCGGTTCGCGATCCAAAACATCATTAACTCGACACGAATTCAAGCGATTAGGATGTTGGTCCCGGGAGATGCTCTCCACAAGATTCCTCCGCAAAGCTCATCAGCTCACGATATTTTTCTGTTCATCGGACGATGCGACCCTGAACAAGTTTCTGGGGGGACGAGGAAATCAGAGAGACACGGTCAAGTCAACTCAGTTGATGGTCCCCCAGTCGGATTTCGGGAGGCTTAGGACACGTGTCGAGCGACGGGCGCGTCGTGCTGCGCGACGGTGCGGTGCAGCCTTTGATACCAACATTCGCCTCGCCCTCTCAGAAGCCGCCGCGTGTCCGGATCCGGCGACCATCCCCGAAAGTGCATTTGTCCGTCCGTCACCCTTCCTTTGTCGAAGGATCGTGGCTTAATGATTGTCGCTTGCTATTGCCAGTTTTTTTTTTATTTTTTTCTGGTTTTACACGTGGCGCGTGACTAGGGCGGGATTGGCTCCCTTGTCTGGGGACACGTGGTGATTCGGGATTCGGGGGGGACCACGCTTTGTTGAATTGTGATGGATGCCTCCGATCGTTTTTGTTGATTGCCTTGCTGTGTTTCGTTGTGGGCGTAAATTGTAAGAAAATTATTAGGTGCCGCGGGCGTACCCGAGCCCGATTGACTCGAGTTGCCCGATCATATGGAATATTCACTAGATCCGCCGGCTGGTGTCGATTTGGTTTACTTATGTCCGATTTAATGCATGTATTGCTCGTGATCGGAGGAAAACGATTGCCGCACTTCGCGCACAGGAAGGTCGCTGGTCGACGTTAATGTACGACGTGCCAGTTTAGCTCAAAATCACATAGCGACGAAGTATTTTCAGGTGTCGAATGTGTGGCCACGGCATTGCACCCATATAAGGATTTTGTTAGTGTCTCGGAAGCACTTATTAAGTAAGCAGTAAGGATATTGTGTAGTTTTCAACGCACGGCCAATTATCGAATTCATCATATGAATTTATTGCTAACTCAAGTAAGGAGTCGAACTTCGAAGGTATTCGAGAATTTGAAAGCAAAAATCCATTTTCATTACTATTCTACATTAATTATGTCTAACAAGTGTTTCAAGAGCAAATCGTCACAAAGAGTCGTCATATAACACCATTCAATTGAATTTTGAAAATGGGAAAATTCACAAAATCATCCCAATTTTGCACCTTTTATTTTTAGAAATACAATTTCTTTTTGCACTCTCATTCTTGTATCGAGGGACCAAACTCCATCTCCACACAACACCAATCATGTGAGTTTTGCTTACAAAATTGACATTTTTCTTTCCTAGAATAGCACTGCCACCTTTTCTACCAACCACCTACTCCTAGAAATCATAGACCCACTTTTCAACCCTTTAGTCCCGGCCAATCCCCCCACTTCCTGATTGCTGTCGTCGTGTCTGGCCAAAATTCCATCACATAATGACCTAGAAGATGCAGCATTCATGACACCCAAGTGGGACAATTCCTCCATAAAAAGCCCGTGTACAGGTGATCTGTCACTAGTTCCCACTCGTATAAGGGCATGGCAATTTTGAATTTGAAGATGAAATGGGGGGCTTAGGGTCTGAATTGGCCCTAATCACCCCCCACACTGGTTTTAGTGTGGTGGGGGTGGGTTGGATTGTCCCACCCGCTCCATGCACGATTTGTGTTCCACCTACCAAGCGGACAATCGGGACGGACCGGAGGGAGGGCCGCTCGAAAACACGACGCCACCAGTTTTGGAAAGTTGTTCACCACCACAGAGTTTCGCGAGGGATCGCCACTTGGTGCCGTGCTCGTTGCCGTGGCTCAATAAATTCGACTTATTCATAATCTCCAATGGCTAGAGCTTGGATAGGTAACTGTGCATGTCACCACTCGGTCTAACGTTACTTGCAATAATTTTTAAACCTGTTGAATTCCCTTGCATTGCATGTGTATTGCACGAGTTATAATATTTTTTTTGATTGAAATGAAGTTTTGCTGGAAAAGATTAATATGAAAAGGGAAATAGTTTATTTGTTAATTAATAGGTATTATTTAGCAAATTCACCCATCCTTCTTGCTCATCGTATAGCCTTGTCTCAAATCTTCACTAGATAGATATTTAGCAAATACTTTAAGAGATCCAACGGAAGATTTTGGGGTTAGCTAGACAAATGTTAGTGATTCCAATTTTAAATTTAGTTGTTCTTCTTAGTGCTTAATGGCTTGAAATAATTAGTCAATGGAGAATATTTTCTTTGTTGACTACAATTTATGTCTAATCATTTTCGTGGACGATGAAAATAATTTTCGTTCATTCATTTATGTAAGGGATGCAAGCGATCAATTTTAGAAAAGTATTTTTCAAATCATTCATTTTCTATTAAACAAATGGAGCAGAAAAATGGACTTTGAGATCAAAACTGAATAACAAAACTTCAAAAAAAAAATTATGGAGAAAAAGGATATCAAATACCATCTTTTTCCCCTTTTTTTTTTCTTTCCATTTTTCTTAAACCTCTAGCCGATCACTCGTCCGACAATCAGCCAGAAATGAGGGCCGGCAAGGTCAGCCCCGCCGCCTATTGGTGAGGGCGAGGCTCGACCTCGCCAGGATTGGCAAGGCTCGTTCTCACCCAAACATTGGCGTCGCTATTGTCGGTGGCTGGGTGAGGGCGAGCCTCACCAAATCTAGCGAGTCGAGCCTCACCCAGCCATGGCGAGGCTCATCCTCACTGTCGCTCGCGAGGTTGAGCCTCCCCAAGGGTGGGTGAGGCTCGCGCTTGCCAATGGCCAGCGGGATCGACCTAGCTAGCCCCTGCCTTTGGCTAGTCGTCGGATCGACAATCGGCTAGAGGTTGAAGATGTAGGGAAAGAGAAAAAAAGAAGAAAGGGAAAAAGAAAAGAAAAATAATAACAAGAAAATTCAAAAAAATTATTAAAAAATTGCCACGTCAGTATTGGCCGGCATCCACGTCACTGCTAGCCGGCCAAAATTGGTTAGATGGACTGAGTAGGTTCAAATGTAAAAGGTTTAAGATTAAATTGACACCAAAAAAAACGTTTAAAACTGAATTGTCACAATTACAATATATTTATAACTGTTTTGGTAATTTTCCCGTCAATTAAAGGCCTTCTTCATTAGACTAGTTCTTGGGCTTATATCTATATTGAAAAGAAAATGATATTTTACCTTTAAGCAAACATTTATTGTTAGAATGAGCATGTTGGGTAGGAGACTTTTGGCATAGGACCCATCTTTCTAGGAGTAAGTTGACTCTAATTTGGATTTGATACACTTCATGTATATCCCTCTGTTTCTAAGTATGCTCGATATGCAATTCTTACCCCTACCTGACGTACTGATCCTAGATTGTTATAAATGATAATATCTTGTTTTAACTTCGAGTAGTATAAGCCACTTTGTTATAAGGTTTCTAATGAGGAAATTTAATAATTGGACGGTCCTAATCCCGCACGTAAAAGAAAAAAGTTTCTACTATTCCCCCACATGAATTAGAAGTGACCCGTTTTTATGAAAATTTCTATTTGGACCTCTCGGGCTTTCTCTATTTCGGGACTTTCGAGTTCGGGTCGCATTACACCTGTGAGAAGGGCGACATCGCGGGACGTTACAACGGAGTTCCCCTGAGCTATTGCTACCAATGAATCGTGCGAGTGAATCGAAAAGTTCCGGGGTTGAAGTAACGAAACGTCGAAAATCCAATTAACGAGAACTCTTGGGAAGTTTTCCCGGAAACAAACTGGAAAAAAAAAATGTTAGCTTTAAATCAAAGAACATCAATAAATCTGGGATTTCTGAAGATCTTCTATGCAACTATCGCTCGAAGAGCCTTTGGAGGGACAATAATCGTGGGATGCAAGGTTTTGGTAAACTTTGTTTAAACGGGTCTTTGGGCCATTTATAAAATTTTGGGCCGGGCCGGTCCGAACTATCGGCCTGCACCAACTTAGCCTGGCCCGATTGAAATGATTTAAAACATAATAAAGTATGTCTAAAAGATATAAAACTTTAAGGCTGCGTTTGGTCATCTGGATTTCTAGCCAGGATAAAGTTGGATAAGATAGAATATGAAATCCAAGGGATTTGTTATAACCTATTTACTGTTTGGTGAATCGTAATGATAGACCGGATATTTTTCTATTATTTGTTATGAGCGTCATATCAATGTAAATGAACATAAAAATTAAACAAACTGACACGAAAAAAATTTCTCACCACACTCTTACCTACTTCATTTTTATTTGCTCATTTTTTATAATTTTTCCCTTTCTTTTTTAATTCTTTTATTTTTTATATCTTTTTTCCCCTTCCATCATTCTCTAATAAAAATTTATTAAATAGTAAACTATACTAATATACCTAAAATATGTTGTAAATATAAATACTGAATTTATATATATGAAATTTATATCATAAGATAGAAAGAAATTTGAATATATAAATACAAATAAGAATAAATAAAAACGAAATTGTTGTTATTTTTATATTAAAATTCAAATATTATTTATATTCATATATTATTTTAATTATATTATTTTAACAAGTTTGTTATTCAAGAAAAATAACTTTTATATGTATATTAGAGATCATATCCACCTTTATCCCACCTCCCCTATGGGATAATTGTATCCGGGCTATATCCTTTATGTATCTGACTTTATACTGTCTTGGGTTGGCGCCAAACACGGGATAGGATAAAATTTAGCATATCTTGAATTATATCCCGACTACCAAACCTAGCTTGAAAATTAGCATTTGATATAAATCATGTAAGTCTAACATTACGCTCATGGGTCACGTGGCAAGCACATAAGCATAGAGGTAAAGTGAAATGCCGCACGACTAGTGGAAGGTCAAGTGATCTTTATTTATCTCTTGGGATAATGACACAAATGGTGCATGAACTTTGACCCAATGTGCAATGTCATCCCCGAACTTTTAATTTGTTCAATATGGTATGTTCAATTTAGTCTATAAACTATATTTAATATTGTCCTTCTATTAATTCAAATTCAGGGGCAATATTGAACATCTTCATATACTTCAGGACAAAATTGAACATGTCTGGAAAGTTCAGGGGCTACATTGAACAAATTAAAAGTTCAGAGACCACATTGCATATTGAGTTGCAATTCATGGACTACATTGAACAAATTAAAAGTTCATGGACCACATTGCACATTAGGCCAAAGTTTGAGGACCATTTACGTCATTTTTCCTTGTTTCTTTTCTTTTTGAAATGAAAAGGTTTGAAGTTTTGAGAATGACGAATCGATACATTAAAACTTACGAATTGATGTCACTGATCATATATGTACGTACATAAATATATTCTAAATTTTTTTCACTAACACATTACTTTTGTAACACCACCCGCTACTCAATTAATGAATTCCATGCATCCGATGCATAACGAATACATTTATTTTTCAAATAATTTCGACAGCTACCACCAATACATCTAGTGGCAACAAAAAGAGAAAAAAATGTTTCGTTTTACGGTATATCAAGATTTAGTCTCCGATCCATGTTTTCGTCTATCAGTCCTTCCCGATTCACATCTTCGTCAATATAATTTCTTTTGTAATTCCTTACATATTGTCGTGTTACGAAACCGCACGTGGTGCGTCTTGATTTGGTAAGAGATCATGCGATCGCATCGAAATTCGATCGGCAACCTCCGGCCCCGGCTGTGGCCGGCGGAGGGAAAAGAGGAAAAAAAGAAGAAGAAAAGGAAAAGGAAAAGAGCAAAAAAAAGAAAAGAAGAAGTAAAAGACGAAATTGCCCTTGTTTCGATCACCGGAACAGTGACGTGCTTGCCGATCGATGAGCATTTGACCGGCCGGCGAACCCAGGCCCTTACTTGAGACTAATTGGGCACTTCAGGCCCCTATTTGAGACTGATTAGGCACTTCAGGCCCTTATTTGACACTATGTCCACTTTGAACCCATTTTTGAGAAAATGACCCCACTTCGGGTGCTGATTTGAAATTTTTCCGAAAAAAAATGTTAGATTTAAATCAAAGAATATCAATAAATCTGGGATTTCTGAAGATCTTCTATGCAGCTTTCGCTCGAAGAGCCTTTGGAGAGAAAATAATCGTGGGATGCATGGTTTTGGTAAACTTTGTTCAAATAGATCTTCGGGCCTTTTATAAAATTTTGGTCCGGGCAGGTCCGAATTATCGGCCTGCACCAACTTAGCATGGCCCGATTGAAATGATTTATAACATAATAAAGTATGTCTAAAAGATACAAAACTTTAGCATCTGGATATAAATCATGTAAGTCTAACATTACGCTCATGGGTCACGTGGCAAAATTATTTCACGTGGCAAGCACATAAGCATAGAGGTAAAGTGAAATGCCGCATGACCAGTGGAAGGTCGAGTAATTTTTATTTATCTCTTGGGATAATGACACAAATAGTGCATGAACTTTAGCTCAATGTACAATGTCATCTTCCAACTTTTAATTTGTTCAATATGGTATGTTCAACTTAATCCCTAAACTATATTTAATGTTTAATATTGTCTTTCTATTAATTCAAGTTCAGGGGCAACATTGAACATCTTCATATACTTCAGGACAAACTTGAACATGTCCGGAAAGTTTAGGGCCACATTGAACAAATTAAAAGTTCAGAGACCACATTGCACATTGAGTTACAGTTCATGGACAACATTGAACAAATTAAAAGATTATGGACCACATTGTACATTGGCCCCAAGTTCGAAGACCATTTAAGTTTCTTTTCTTTTTGAAATGAAAATGTTTTAAGTTTTGAGAATGATGAATCGATATATTAAAACTTACGAATTGATATCACTGATGATATATGTATGTACATAAATATATTCTAAATTTTTTTCACTAACACATTACTTTTGTAACACCACCCGCTACTCAATTAATGAATTCCGTGCATCCGATGCATAATGAATGCATTTATTTTTCAAACAATTTCGACAGCAACCACTCATACATCTAGTGGCAACAAAAAGAGAAAAAAATGTTTCGTTTTGCGGTACATCAAGATTTAGTCTCCGATCCACATTTCGTCAATCAATCCTTCGTAATTCCTCACATATTGTCGTGTTACGAAACCGCACGTGGCGCGTCTCGATCTGGTAAGAGATCATGCGATCGCATCGAAATTCGAATTCTGACGTGGCACGAAGACCGTCCTTTCCGCGCGCTCCTCCTCGTCCTCGTCCATCCTCGAAGCCATGCAGTTCGATTTCTCGATAGACGGACACAGCAAACCGATCCGTTCCATTTTCGCGAACAGACAAGAAGAAGAAGAAGAAGCAGTGGAAATGGGCGCCGCCCAATCCGCGGACGAGAAATCGCTCCACGAGTTCGTCGTCAAGGTGGGTGGCTACACAAGATCGTTCGCAAGTGGTTCGGGAATCTCTCGTTCTCGGCGCTCGAGATTTACCGTCGGATCGCGCGACGTTTTGATGTGGGTGCTGATGATGGTGGTGATGACGATGCAGGACAGCAAAGGCGATGAGGTGTATCTCAGAGCTTACGAAGGGAAGGTTCTTCTCGTCGTTAACGTTGCTTCCAATTGGTATCCCACCCGCCCCTCTCTTCTCATCAAATTTCGTCCTTCTTTTACACCAATCTCTTTTTCGTTATATTCTGATGCGTTCGCTCTCTAAGTAACCAGATTGATCTGTGTGTGTGTGTGTGTTTGTGGGTTTGAAACAGTGGGTTTACCAAACAGAATTACACTCAGCTCACTGAACTGCACAACAGGTACAAGGATAAAGGTCGGTTCTGTCGCCGTTTACTGTTCCGATGCATTTTGCTGTATGTGAGAATGGGCTCTTTCGTGGATGTCGTATTTGTTATGATGGGCATGTTTCCGTGGTGATTGTCATGGGAATTCCTACATTTTTCGGCTATACAGTGGACGTCAGTATGGCGATGGGTGATTAGCACCTTCGGGTGAGCTTGTAAGTGGGGGAAAGAAAACCATAGAAAAATAATACTGTTAGTTTTTACCCAAACAGAAAGGAAATAATGTAAAATCAACTTGTGTGGGGGTACTCAAACATCCACATGAGAAGCTAAATATTCCGGTACTGTAACTGTTGGCCAAGTGATGCATAACTTGTCTTAATACTGCTTGCATGTCTGAAAAATATTGGGTGGCAAGCTCACGAGGATGAGTCGAGTCTACTGCTTTTTCCATTTTTTTTGAGATTTAACGAGTTGCCTTCGTAACTGATCCAATGGTTGATGATGCACGACCTTCCCTCGGCATCTTTGCTGGGGTTGTGGTCACTTCTAGGAGGTTGGCCATGCATGCAAGTTAGAATCAGATAACTCGGGATGATCAAGTCAACCCAAATGATTGCAGATGTCAATTTTGAGCTTCATTTCCTTCAGGAAATCCCTATCCACTCTCGATCCACAGCACTTGTTCTTCTTCTGATGTTGCAATCATTTCTTTTGCTTTGTTCATTGTCTGTTTGGAAATTCATGAACATTTGTAATACTTTGCCCCTAATGCTGCGCATTGCCATGCAAAGTTGTCTCCACTAGAAATTTTTAAATAGAGAGTAGTCATTTTCTATATGGATAATTCAAAAGATTATTACATGCACCACCGACCTTTCCTTCTTTTCCCCTCCCAAGATGAGTTTAATGAGTTGGAAATTGAAGGAAATAGCTGCTCCCGGGTTTCTCTCAGGATTCGAAATCTTGGCATTTCCATGCAACCAATTTCTTGGACAAGAGCCAACAACTAGTCAGGAGGTGCAAAAATTTGCTTGTGACAGATATAAAGTCGAATTTCCAATTTTCCAGAAGGTATGCTTCTTAGCAGTTCTCTTGCAACTGTTTTAGCTTTTCATATTGATTTTTTGAATCATTATTTCGTCAAATAGGTTCATTTCTTTGTATGTTCCCCTTCTCTTGTATGTTTTTGCCGGGCAGTTATATAGGTTTTCCTAGATCTTTTCTTTTTGGCTCTAATAGGTACTTGTGGCCTGTGACTGAACTGATGGTTTTATCTCTGAATAATTACTTCTTCCGCAGGTTGGAATCTCTGAGAAATCATGACTTATCAATTGTGGCCTTTGATGTTTATCACAGTTAATAAGTGGGTCGAACTGTCTGTAGACATAAGATTTGTAGCCACTTTGGTTGGAATTCTAGATAGCATTGTGGTTGACTGCTCATTTCTTTATCCCATTTGGTTGTAGAGCATCATTAAGACTTGAGGAAATATGTTTCATTGACCCCCCCAAGAAGTTAGAAAGTGGTTGCTCCTAACTTGTAAAGCATACCTGCTTCAAAGTTCGCACATGGTTCAAGTTACTGAGTCTATATGAGATGGTTTGGTAGCCTTTGTAATATATGCTGGATAGTTCTCTCCCCTGAGTTCCCTGAACTATATAAACATGAGCTATACAGATTGGATTTTTAATTTGCCGGGAAGTGACATGCTCTGATCTCGTTCTTTTGTCACTTCGTATCAAGACTGGTTAAAATGTTGAACAAGCTTTGTCTAATAGGTCTGGCCATTGTCCAAGTTGACCTGACCATCATTTAGTAGTTAAAAGTTTTGTCATTACATTTTGCAATCAGCTGTGAAAAATGTTTCAAGAAGTAATTACAGTAGGATTCTTTTTCCTGGACTCTCGGAGGAAAATCTCCTTGTAGAAGGTTAAGAGTTTTATACCTTGACTGGAGGTTAGGATCACGAGGGACGTAGAAAATCGAATTGTTAAGAGTTCTTAAACCCTTTATTAAAGGTTAGGATCATAATTTTGAAATTCTTTTAACTTACTGAAAGTCTTGAAATTTACCAATGTACGCGGACATTGCACAAAAGCTTGTTACTCTTGTTTTTCGTCAGTACTATATCTACACTGAGCAAATTATGTGGAGGGAGGAAATAAGGAACAAACCCAAGACATAGTTCTTGATATAAGGAAACCTTGTTCCGCATGTTGTATCTGTAATTTTTAGCCAGAATTAACATCAAGTGGCAGAAAGAAAAGGTGAAAGACAAACTGCCAGAGAGGATGAGGAACAATTAGATTAACCAAAACATAGAAGGTTTCTGGCTAGAAAGTATTGACGAGAAGTTGCAATACTGGTATCCCTTTTGTAGCTCTTCCAAAACAGCTGGCTTCGAAGCCAAATGTAGAGGAGTACCCAAATACATTACCCAAAATTGAAGTGAACGTATCCAAAATTGAAGTAAACATATTACTAACATATTCTTGTTAAAAAAGGCCTAATGTGTAAGCTCCATAGCTCGTACATTGACTTACACAAGCTTATCTTCATTTGTTTTCATATCCACATTTTATTCCATTGGGTGGTATGGCCAAGTCGACTAAGGATTCAGATGACGTTTTAGAAAGTTTTTCAGGAGAAACACTGTGAAACTTCTCGCTTGGATTGCAAGTTTTCAGCGATTATGATTTTCCTTTTGGTGAAGCTACGTACAAAGAAGTCCATAACCTGATTTCCATCAGAATAGCCCGTCTGTTTTCTTTGTTTACTCAGCGGTTAGTTTGAGTTGAGAATACTACCCAAACACATCATTAATTTTCTGTCAGTACCAGTTACACTCAGATCATATTTTAGGAAATTCTTAGAGAAAAATAATTCGAAAACATTTCATAGGTTTACAATTCTTAGATTCCTTTCAGGGTATGTTCTGAAGAAGAAGACCACAACTTGATTTCTCAGATAAGATCAGCCAGTACTTGACCTCAGATGAAGAGAGTCTGGTCTGTTAGTATGTTTGGCAATGGAGTTGTAATGAGTAAAACGCTTCACATGTTTGGCTTCTCATGTTATTCAAGGCTGTACAACTCCCGGTGGTATAAGATTCACGATCCACCTCTTAAGGAGTGTGGCCACAGGGCTACCTTATTGCAGGGCCTACCCTTATCTTGGGACATGTCACATCTGATCGCATTATGAGTGTTTGTCGGGAGATTTTTCTAGTTGTTGATAGTAAACTCAAAAGTACCCATCTTTAAGAACTTTATCAACTTAGAGACATATTTACTGCTTATAATATCTTGGACAATTTTCCTTGTGCTCTACACTGCACGGCTTATAATAGATGTAATAGCTCTGTGGGTATATATACCACAGAATATTGGTTATCTCATACTTGTTTGCTCATTTCGTATGACTTGTCTGTATATTTGAAGTCTCAGTTGGCACCTGTGGTTGTAGGTTTGCGTCAATGGGCAAGAAACAGCGCCCCTCTACAAGTACCTCAAAGCACGTAAAACTGGATTTTTTGGTTCAAGAATAAAATGGAACTTCACCAAGTTTCTAATAGACAAGGAAGGGCGAGTCATCAGCCGCTACGGGACAACCACACCTCCACTCGCCATCGAGGTAACCGACAGTCTCTTCTGGCTCTCAAGTGCTCACCTCTCTGAACCAACCTCTCTGAACCACTCAGTTCACTCAGCTTTGCAAGATACTTTTCCTAGTTATTCACCGACATTCATGGATATTTTCCATGCAGGAAGACATCCAGAAAGCATTGGGAGTGGCATGATTGTCACTCTGTGGCCTATCGAAGTTATAGAATTTGGTTTAACGTGTCATGACTAGGAGGCAGAATAAAGTATATGAAAGTAGTAGAAGTTTCTGTTGCTGTGACTGATTATTACCATACCAAGTGCTTATTTTCTAAGTTTATTCTCACAATGATTTATTTCTGTTAACATTACCTGGTTGGGTTAACCCTGAATATTTTGTTAAACACGTTTTAGATGTGGAAAGAAGGCGCTGTTGTTAGACAAGATTCATTTATTCTTTGAAATTCTACAGATTCGGATTCTGAATGTGGTTAGAGCAGATAAAGATATTTTTTAGCTCATAATAATTGAAATGCACATTGTGGCCTGCAGTTCAATATGCTAGAAACACAAAAGTCAGGATGTTCATAATAATGAATTCCTTTAACACGTTGGCTCTTGTACTGTTTTAGATTTTGCTAGGAGTGGGACACTGTGTTTGCAAATGGTTGATATAATGGGGGACAGTTTGTGCTGTGATGGTCCCATTCTTTGAAGACTTGAGAAAATTTAGTCATCGTCTCATCATGAGCAAGCCGAGTTAATACGTGCAGTTCATGCACATACCTGTGCTGGACAGCATGCTGGTAGGATTTTAGCCCTGGCAAGTAATTGCTGAATTGAATATTGTATGGATCTTGTTCTTTTCAAGTTTACATGGACATGGCTTCTAAGCTTAATCCTGCATTAAGTGCTCGACCGATTCGTGAGTCGGGACTTGGAACCTTGCCTAATTGTATCGCTTTGCGGCATCAGCAGTGAAGTTCAGCTAGATATTTCCTATGCAGTCCATAAATGCTCGAATTCGCTCATACATGCATGCAAAAGCTCTCTGTTCATTCATTTTTAGATTTATCAGCTCTCTGTGGGGTTATTGCCTCATTTTTCAGGTGTATCAGAAATTATCAGTTTAAATTGGCCTTAGGCCAGGATAGCGCGACGATGAATAACAAAGCATGTCTTGTGAAGTAGTATAAAGGAAACTAATGACGAAGCTCCGCTAAGGCAGACGTGCAGATCTGGTCAATTCTAATTACAGTGATTTTTCTTGTTCTTTTTCATCTTTTGGATGCTTATGAGGCATGAAATCTTGGATGCCTCTGAAACTCCAGCCAGAAGGAGCAATAACACAATCAAGATTAATAAAGATTCAGGGGCTCTTTTTGTCAATTTGGTTAAGCTTTTGATCAAGTAAAACCTGACTCAGGAATCTGAGACTAAAAGCACCCGATTTTGCCAAGATTTGTACTCTCTTGACCATTCGTGCTGGTGTTAACAAATACAGCAAGGCAACGAATTTACCATGTGAACAGAACAAAGGTCGGGTGGTAATGTCGGATCGATTTTGCACACCAATCTAATACCGCCTCTCAAATCCGGTTAAAGGCATGCTAGATTAGGAAATTCGCAAGGAAGTAATTCTCTCTGTGACCTCGATCAAAGGGATTGCGCCGAGTAAGAATCGAATTTGAAATCTCAAGACGGATTCAATCTTTTACTCTTATACCAGAGAAAGAGAGCTCACTATATCGACTTTGCATGTTGAACTAATTTTTGGAAGAAGGCATTTCACTTTTGAAAGCTTTGACTACACAGGTATCAAACATCTTGGCAAAAATGAAATGATTGGATTTTAAAGGAAGAAAGATGCAAGAAGTTGATTATATATATAGAGAGAGACACACACACACACACAGATTTTGATTGGAGAAAGTATCCCTTTAATATGTCATGGCATTTGCAAAAAAAAGTTTAAAAAGAAAAAAAAAATAAAACAAATATAATTGTTGAAAATCCTCTTGACACCCTTACCTAGTAGCCCCCCTATTTTTAACAACTTAAAATTGACCCTCCTAAACTTTGGCATTGGCGCATAATAGCCCTTGAATTTTGAGAAATTACAGATTACTCCATTCGACCTTTGATTTTATTTTGTCCGGCCGCTAGTTTTCTGTCAGGTAACTATTAAGTGTTAAACCTCTCTGCCACATTGTTAATGCTATTAAAAAAAGAGAGTAAGGCATGGTTAATGAAATTACAAAAAAAATACTTACTGCAGATGTTATCTTGGTTCAAAAAATTTGAGTTATCCCGCGTTTACGCAATACTTAAGGATTATATACAGATGGATGCAACGAAAATCGAAGTTCAGGGGTTAATGAGTCGCGATTCAAAGTGCCGGACCATCGCGTACGACGCCAAAAATTTACGAGAGTAAATTAATCTGTAACTTTTCAATGTATGGAAGCCGCGGCACACGGTTTTGCCAAAATTCGGAGGGATCTCGAATGCTCATCCCCAGAAGAAATTCATACTGATGATGCCAAGAGCCAACACAGGGGCTGTGCAGTGAAGCCGGTGATCAATCTCTCTCACGATCCGCACGTGCGGGAGGATCACGAGCGACGGATGAAAAAAGAAGAAGAGAAAAAAAAAAGGCTCAAGGAGATGGGGTACGCCTGCTGTTCTTCTATGGTTCACTCGCTCGAGCTGTACACTAGTGAATCTCTCTTCATCGAAAGAGAACAAAGTTCCCACCCGACAGCATGGATTTTTCCTCTTCATTTCTTCCCCCCCCCCTTCCTTTTTTTTTTTTTGAAGTTTTTCAGAACTTCATATCATTGAAATCCCTGTTGGAATAGTATTCAAGCGACAGACATCCCATAAAATAAATAAATCATTCTGACACCAGATAAATCTTTCCCTTTCCCAAAAATGGAAACAAAAAAAAAATCCCCCATTTGGGGGGGTCAAAACTTAACACCTACTCTGCTGACTCCACTGCATAAACATTCCCATCTTATCCGAATTAACGCCCCCTCCTCCTTAAACCGACCTCTAACCAGAACCGCACGAATTCGATATATGCCGGTACGGGCGCCGCCGGAACGAGCGACGAGGAGCATAACGGCGACCATACATGGATGGACGGCAGGCGGTTCGAGCCTCGCATGTCGTGTATAAAAAGCTTGTTTTATTTCATTTTATTTTATTGAAGCGATTTCGAGTGATTGGAAATGAATGAGACTGGCCAATTCGCCCATGATTCTTCGTTTTCCCTTGGCACCCCGACCTGGCTTGTGATTGGGATGTGAGCCAAAGGAGCTTTCCCCCCTTGCCAATCTTTACCACAACAGATGGGCCAGGGCTCAGCACGTGGGCTTTGGGCCCACATGCCACATGGTGGAGGTGCAGACTCCATTTCCTTCAGCAGAGTGGGTTGACCCGGCTGTCCCCCCAAATGTAGGTCACATTGATGGACCATGTTGGGCTAATGTTGAGGGTTAGGGTTCCAATTTCAGTGTCAAGTTGTACCGCGCAATGTCTGAATAATGCGCGCCACGTGTGCGCGGCGCGAGCTATCGTGTATGATATCGATCGATTCGGTGTGTCTCCCCGATCGTGTGTTAGATGATGCTAACCATATGCTCTCGAAAACGATAACTCTTGATCGGGTCGCCCGACAACTTTTTCGACGCACCTATAAAGAATAATTGAAGGTATGAGGAGGGTGATGTTAGGTGGCCCTCGACTAATTTGAGTTAATGTGTAGTATTTTGCAATTAGATGGTGCTATTCTAAATCATACCTTATGAGATCAATAGGGTTCAAAATTTGAGGATTGTTCCTTCGTATACTTGTAAAAGAAAAGCGGATGTTGAAAGATTAGGATTTGTCTAAGTGACTCTGTTGCGTAATGTCAATATAGTTATCATAATTGGTGGATTCTCGATTCATTTTGTATAATCTTCGATATCAATATATTTTTATTAGGTGTATCGATAATCTCATAAATAGCAGGCGAATCTACCGATTCATTAGTGAATCCATGATCTGGTCTGTATCTATCGATTACAGCAATTCAATTTTTTTTTTTTGTTGAGAATTTACCTATCAAATGATGTCACTTTGGTCGTACGTTATGATGTATGTAACATTTTGATGGTTAGAAGATAGTTGACAAACTATAATAACCAAACAATGAAAAATCATGTCTGTTTATGCATAGGAATCATCACATGTTCCTTGATCATAGATTACAAAATCTTACTCAACATTTCATGTCTATATAAAATACAAATGACTATACACAGGATACTAATTTAGGTACTTTACCGAATCTTACAATTCGATTCGATTCTCGATTCGCAATCTATAAATTTGAGGTTTGGATTCAGTAATGTCATCATAAATGGTTGGCAATGTGGGGTCGATGCGTTTCTATCTGAATTGTTCTTGAAGCGTCGATTGGGAATAGACTCTATTTTGCCCTTCACATTAGGTTACTAACATTAAGTGAAACGACACTAAATATAGGTCAGGAACTTGCCAAGATTAATTGAATCGGATTCCTTATCTTAATTCAACCATGGCGTGTTGTTTTATGTAACAATGACATCCTCATTTCTATCCAAGCATCATAGGAATTAAATCATCTCAAACGGTCCATGGCTGTTCCGTCTCTCGGCCATGCCATCACCGCCCCCGTCGTGCTGCCTCTGTGTTCATCTTGGTTGCCAGCAATGGTGTTCGTCCCCAAGCAGGCTCTCTCTCTCTCTCACGACGAGCTCGTATCGGTAAAACATGTTGTGTTTAGCTATTCCTAGGTATAAGAATATATAAATTGTTGTTTCGCAACGACATGTGGATATGTTAAGGAGAAAAAGACCATACGAACTCTCAGTCGTTTTGATGTGCAAGACATTTGGGATGATAGCACGAGTCAATTCATGTAATTAAGACATGTATCGGAAGTTAGTCGACGGGAGGATAGTATTTTTATCAATTAAAAGGAGGAGAAGAGGCTGCCAGGACGACCCTCTGAGAGTTACCACAGGAGTTCCACACCAGCAATCGAAGTGAGCTTGTCATCGCCATTCCAACCAAGGCGCTAATACGAGTAGAGCTGAGATTATCATACGCAATAGCACAGTCAAATCTACGCTGCAGGCAAACCAAGGCTTTCTGAGACCCAAGAGCGATCGGAGGATCCGAACCTACAACGAGAGGGGCTCCGAACCCTCTGAAAAGTTAGCCTAGACCAACCACAAGCCTATACTTAGTTGTTGACACGAGGAGAACAGATACTCCACGCCTAGAAACAAGACAAACCGAAGTAGAATTCTCTCATCCTAAGAAGAAAGCGTTGTTCTTCTTTTTCCCTACACCCAAGTGGATAACAGTAACCATCGTGCTATCTTGAGAACGGAAATGACAGTGTCACGCGTAATGATGAATCAGGCGCGAGGCTTATCGAAGGTTTGGCGGATGGAGAGACAGGGGAGGACCCTCTTTGACAGAGATGAGCCTATCAGAGAAGAAGATGACAAGTCCTTTTCATGGGGACATGACCAGCAGACAAAAAATCAAAAGCTTGAACCACCACCTCCTCCTCCGACAACGACGCCATCTTCCATTTTTGCTGATTAAACTCATGCAAAACTTCCTGACTCGGACCTGACTCACCAGTCCGACTCGGTGGGCCCTCTTTCATCGCCTGCCACAGGGTCTCCTCCATATCTCCTCCTCCTCTACTCTCTCTCTCGCGCTCTATATATTAGCCCAGAAGCCTCCGTTGCTCACTGCCTCGGCGCAAGAAGAGCAAAACAACTGTTACTCGGAAAAAGAATCGAAACCCGCCTTCTTTTCCGCATCAATCTCTGTGGGTGTTTGGCTGTTGGTGAGACAGAGAAAGAGAGAGGATGGGGAGGACTAACTCAAGCGCGAGCACTGTGAGGACGGGCTTGAAGCTGCGTTCATGGCAGAGGTGCTGCTCCAAGCACATCAGGGAGCAGAGGGGGCGCCTCTACCTCATCTGGAGGTGCACGGTCATGCTCATCTGCTGGGAAGATTGATCGAGAACCGAACAGAGAGAAAGAATCGTAGATAGAGAGAGATCAGGATCACAGTGTGAGAAGAAGTGAAGCTGTTGAGCCGGGGAAGCTTTTTCTTCTCAAGTGCAGAAAGCTCTGAAAGTTTGAATGAATGTACAGACTCTTTTTTTTTTTTCTTTTTCTTTTGAAGTGTAGTTGGTGAAGGTTAACTCAATAATGTACAGTCTCTTTTTTTTTCCTTTGTCTTTTAAAGTGTAGTTGGTTAAGGTTGACTCAATAATTTAGCTTCTTCTTCTTCTTCATTTTTAATGTATTTTGCTGATATACAGTCGAGCGAAAAAAATAATGAATGAGCATACTATAAATCTTAGAAAATTATGAAATAAATCATGACTTTATATCTCATATATATTGGTAGGTCAATGGAAAATCGAATTGGTAGCCGTGACTCATGAGGTTCTAATTTGAAAGATATTGAGTGACAGACATCAAATAAAAAGTCAAAATTCAGATGTCATAAATAAAAGAAGAAATTGAAAAGCAATCGTAACGGGTTATTTGAGAATACTCTATGACCCTTCTCGAGAGATCGGTCGTTTATTAGCGAACTTTATTCTAATTTTCAGTACAAAGTATCACGTGAATACTTAAAAGTTCGAAATAATCGATCCAAATGACCGCGGATCTCTCCTCGATAAATTGGAAACCCTCGGAGTTACTTGAACCTGTTGGTGGGTTTGTTCATCCCAATCAGCTTCAGATAAAGAGCAATGGTTGGTTTAGTGAATAAAATAGAGGGCTCGTGTGTGTGGTTTTTGACATAATTTTTTCTTTATTTTCACTCCCCCATATGTGAGCAAGCTCTCTATGTCATATCTTGTGAAATTTAATGAATTTACTCTTTTTTATATAATGAAAATTTGATCATTATTTTTCCATCCTCTCAACTCATATCCCTCTTAGACATATAATTCTTGAGATCAATGGGAGTATTTTATTATTCAGTTCTGGCCATAATTAAGTCTGTTTAATAATTTGTAAAAAAAAAAGGGGGGGGCTAGTGAGCTATATTAAAACCTAATTCAGATTCCCCCCCAAAAAAAAAAGACTATTAAAGCCTAATTCGACTCCCGCGCTCTGTAAGTGACAGAGCAAAAATAAGAGAGAAAGGAGAGTTAGAGATTGGACATGCCAAAAAAAAAAACATATGAGATTAGGTTTGGTTAATTAATCCCACAATTAACACCCTATGTTCAATGACTAGTGCTCCAATGTCACGAAAACCATACCGAACTAGCCAACCTGTTCGGTATGATAGCGGATGGGCCGAAAAAGGTAGTCCGGTTTCTGTCCCGAACTTTAGACCGATTTGACCAATTCAATCGAGTAAGAGTCAATAAATCCGGCATAGTTTTCGACACGGCTTTGGAAACATTAGACCTCACTTTGGGGTCTCTACCCTGGTCACCACCTAATTTTTTGTCATCTCAAATGGCCAACCATCTTGTACTTTAGCAAATTTCAATCGAGACAGCCATGGAGGTAAGAAAGATGAGTTGACAACTCGCGCTTTTACTACTCTAGAGCTTCCCATGGGCGAATTCTCATAGATTCACGCCTTAACGGACCGACCCCAAGATGTGAATTGCGCAAGAGAATTATGCAGCAACGTAGCTCGTTTCATTCTGAATCATCATAACATCCTAAGTTGCTTGCCATATTTCACTTCAAATTACAGTTTCTAGTGTTCCTCGTGGAACTACCCTGCTTCGCCACGGTATGAAGACGAGTCCGAACTTCAAATGAGCCATAACAACAAACTCTCATCGATTCATCTACCTCAAAAGATTCGCGTCTAGGAGGCTCGGAAGGTTATCACTTACCTTCCATTATCACAAGGACGCCGAGGTTATAACCTCTGTCCGGCTTTCAACTTTGGTTCCCCTTGTGGCAAGATCATAGCTTTTCAGGCTTCAATCTTTTCCTGCACTCCGCGTGGCGGACATGATGAATACACTTGCATCGATTGGAACATGCTCAATTAAGAAGAAATATCGAGGGCGTCGAGTAAACTGACGGTTCTTGAAGAGGATCTAATGAGTGAAATACTCTCAAGTACATATGTAACGATTGTAAGGATATACCATCCAAAAACCCGTACCGAGAAGAATTACCGAAGCAATAGTATTGACTATTAAAACTGCAAAAGCATGAAGAGAAGATTGAACACCATGGTAGGTTTTCCAAAAGTTGAGTCGTGCTAAGGTTTACCGAATAGTAACTATAGGAATGCTGTACAGCAATATTCACAGTATTCGTCCTTATTTAAGCTACATACATAAAGAGTAAGAGAGCCGCACCTAAAGTCCTATACCGTGGTTTCTCGCAGGGTGCTAACTGCTAAGATTTCTAACAGTAAATCCAAAACAACCAGATTATCCAATTACTCAGCAAGCGACCGAAAAATAAAGAACAATTAAAAAAGCTCCCTGAGTTCATCAATGCCACCATGGATGTCGGATTCAGAGCCCCTATATTCTCCGTTCGCAGTCGGGCTCAGACCCCCACTGCAGAATTCAGTGTCCTTATCAAAGAACTCCCACCCTAAATCTGTAAGCTCTTTCAGATCGACTCTGCTTTTTTCCTCATCGAAAGGCAAAAGGTCCTTGATCATAGCTGTCTCAGCAATCTTGTTTGGTGTCCCGTATGTTTCAGCTTCGTTGAGAATAGGATTTGAGGATGAGCTTTTCCGAGAAGAGCTTGATGAGGCCAAAAGGCAACTGGTTTGACTAGAGGAAACAGATTTACTCAGAGGAACCCGCTCATCAAACTTCTCTTTAAGGAACTTCACATCCAGACAAATAACCGATATTTCACCTCTGCAGATATGACTCAATGAGTTTCTTCAAAGCTCTAAATCTTCGGTATAAGATAATGATCACAACATGAGGAGCTGCAGGCATCTAAGGGATGTGTGGCTAGTAATATTTTATGCACATCAACATCCTAATTCCTAAGCCCAACTCAATCCACCAAAAGAGCACACAAAAATCGAGTATGACTTGAGTGCCCTGCTAAGGCAAAATAGGTAAATGCAAAAACAGAGAAACAAGCATCACTCGACTTCATAAACTGAAAAAAAACATAAATGTGAAGATGAACAGAGACTTGGAAGCAATATCATCACAGGAATTTATCAAAAGTGCCCACTAATCGTTACCCTTTCAAAGACAACATCAACCCTAAAGTTATCCATGCCAAAGCAGTACGCTAGTCATATATTACAGAGGATTGTTTATACTTCATAGTCTATATCAGAAGATAGGCAGAGCACTTTAAAACCCGGAATGTTAAGCTGGCACCTAATTATAATTACTTATGATTCAGCATATGCCCGTAGGAGACCAAGACAGAAAGTGAAAGATGTAAGAAAAACCCCATAACCAAATGTAATGCTGCAACAGCTTTAACTTTTATATAATCAAGGACAGAACAACCTCCAGATAACCACAGAAATTCACAAGCACTCGTACAGCAGTTTAGAAATTGTAAGTCCAGATTCTCAATCCGTATTCACAAATTCACGTATATAAGGTACTGATTCAAGGCAGAAGGTTTAATTGAGATATCCATACAAGTATTGGCCTACTAAACTGACAGCTGATAGAGTCCACAGAGCAATGAGAATACCACACCCACATTCACATGCAAATTCCACTTAAGATATGTATGTGCATGAAATTAAGTATTATATGCTTACTGCAATATATCAACAATTCGCCCCTTCTCCATAAGAAACTCCCTTAGCTGCAGTGATGAGATGAAATAGGTGCCAGTCAGTAGGTTATTTATTGGTCAAATATTAAAATTCAGAATTCAAACAACAGTTCTCAAAAAAGAATTTACCTTGGAATTCTCCTCTGCCTCTTCTTGTAGTACTTTTGATTCTTGAACCACCTTCTCCATTATGGCTTCCTGTTCGGCTTGAGCACTTCGTGCCAATTCTTCTTTTTCCAGCTTTTCATTCTCAGCAGCTTTCATCACCTCCTCCGCAGCAGCAAGTCTAGATTCAAGAGCTTCACGCATCTTCCAGTACAAACATAACAAAACAAAACAAAAAAAATGAAGGCAGCAGACATGCCAATATGAAGCCCATAATATGAAAAACATCAGGATTGCATGCATATGAAAACCATTAACTGATAAAACAGAATATGTTATCCTTATATGAATATCTGCTACAACTATGTGGCTAGAATATAAGGCAAGTCGTAGGCCAAAGATCAGCAAGTTATATACAATTATCCAAAAACCTGTTTTGCATAACAGTGGCTAAATTTTAACTGTATTATATTGTAACTATGCTTTGAAACACTAAAATGTTTGGTAGTAATATTTACAGCTACAAAACCTTAAAGATAAGTGAGGCAGATTTCTAAAACTGTTGTTAAACTCTTGGAATTTTGGAGATGTTGCAGCTATGAGATGTTTGCCAAACACCTTAGTAAAGCTACAACAACCATTTTCACAATTGAAACTGCTGCGGAAAACCTATACCAAACAGTTTCTAAATCTACCATGATAGTCAACTGAATTCACATACATACAACATCATATTTATGGTGTCTTATACATTGTTTTGATCCAGCACAAGATCTTATGATCTTCACATCCCAAAATTTGAATCTCGAAGAACTCCTAATTATAAGCAAGATAGCTGCTTTAAGAAGCATATTCGCAGGTCAAATGCTCCACAAAACCAATGAGAGGCATACATGAATTTCTCCAAAGCACACCCACTCTGTTTGCAGAGATATTAATTTCATTGATTGGCGGAATGTGTGCTACAAATTTATTTTACAATTAGTCCATTAGATTCCGCAACAGGAGCTTGACTTCACAAAACATGACAGTGTGGCAACTTGGATCCATTAACTCCCGACAGAGGATTAGCTTTACGCATGATGAATTTAATAAAAGATAGAGGAAGTACCTCGTCAAGAATAGCAAGAGACTTATCTCTTTCATCTGACAAGCTGCACAAACGGGACTGTAGCTCCCCGACTTCAGTTGCTAAAACCGCCTTCTCCCCATACACTTCTCCAGCACGCTGCAAATATAAACTATAATAAGCTATTCTATCCACTCTTGAAGAAAATCCTCTCATATACTGCAATTTAAAGAAGGCACAACCATATCGTTAGCTTCCTTGGCACGTGCCAGCATCTGTTTCAGTTCTTCAACCTTGCTAAAAATAACAAGACCTCCCATAACAGCTTCCTCTTTGGCTACTTCTGCAGCTTTCTCCTGCTCTTCAACTTCCTTCATCATGTCCATAACCGATTCCATTGCTGAGAACAAGGTTTTCTGCAACAGCAGTACAACTACCGATCAGTGATATCAATTAACATAGAGCAAATACTAACAATTTGGTTTTAGATAATGTTGAGCACCTTATTATTCTTCGCATCCTCAATGATCTCTTCGAGAAGTTCAACACTACAAATCTGTCCAGAGCGAGTCATGTTCAGTGGAAGATCATCATCCATTTCAACAGTGTCAGTGCAACTGAGGTCTAGTTTCTGAGCAACAGTACTAGATTCTAATTCTACATTCCCATCAGCATAGTTATTTACGTAAGCATCAGTATCAACTTCAGAGACCCAACTTGGAGCCTCTGAGGAATGCTCTTTAGGAGACAGCAACGCCAGTTCAACATCAGCATTCTCAACCTCAGACAAAAATGTTTCCAAGTTAGAGCTCTTTTCACCAACACCAACACCAACACCAACATCAGAATAACTGGAACCTCTTGAACCGATATGCAAACTGCTGCTCAACCTGCCACTTTCAAAGTTTGAAGTGAGTGGCACCAGATCAGAACTTGAAGTGGTGCCATAACTAGGGCCAGGCTCCTGAGCTTTCTCAGATACTGGCATAGGCTCCTGAACTTTCTCCGATACTGGCATAGGCTCCTGAACTTTCTCGGACACTGGCATAGGTTCCTGAACTTTCTCCATCCCTAACAAAATTAACTCTTCACCATCAGCATTTCCATCACATGGATGCAAACCAGAATGTTTCCAGACTTCAGAATTTTTATCTGCTTGATCAACACTCGTTTCTTGACTATTTTCAGATACAATCATGGCTTCATTATCAACAGCTCTACATGGATGATCATTCCCATCATTTGCATCATAGAAAGGACCCTCATCACCGAGTGTTGAATCAGCATCCACAGAATTGCCTGCATTGTTAGCAGCATTACCACCTCCACTAGACACCTCTTTCATCTCCAAAGAATTGACAGTTGCCCTCTTAGACATATGTCGGCGCCTTGATAATGAAGTTTGCTCCTCAGATTCAACTTCACCAAGATAAGCACAGAAGTAGGAGAAGTTAGGCACAATATGGTATTAAAACACATAGAAAGGTTGGAAAAGCAGAGGACCGGACAATTGTTTTAGGAAATTTTAGTGACAACTGATTGCCATGTTGAAAAGGAAAATTGTGTCACCTTCTGCATCTGATTGGCCAAGAGAACTCATATTCTCAGAGCGAGAATCAGTCATTTTTGCCTTTTGTACCATATGAGGAAGAACTTCAGAAAGAATAACTTCCACAGCTGCATCAGCATCTTTAGGATGTTCAATAGCAACAGCTTTCAGCAAGCGCGCATCGAGCTGCGGATTGGAGAGTGAAAAAGTTCAGGAATGATGAACAAGGACGTGAGAAATACAATGCTCCCAACAAAATCATATCCAGTAGACAGCATGGACAAAATGATTTAACTAAAAGAAATGTCCAAATTGCAAAATTTGACTGTACCAAAATTTCATTCCATAAGGAAAACACAGACATCCAAAATATCAAGAAAATCGACTTTTGAGCTGATCAATATTTTCAATGAATATTGAAAAACGCGATATGCACCTGTGGGAATAGTTCCTGCAGGCATTGGTAAACAGCAGCAAAACCCATCTTCAAACGCTACTGCCTGCATTATATGAAATCCAGATCGAAATGAGAATTGACAATCAAAAGATCGAGAAACAAATTGCAAGCAACAAGCTGAAAGTGCTAAGCCATAGCAACAAAACAACTCAAAAAAAAAAAACCCAAGGGTCTGATCCCAAAAAAGATTGTAAGAAAGAAATACAAGTGCAAAAGGCAAAAGAAAGCACAAAGGAGCACAAGAACAACATCTACATAGATATTACACACAACCTATAAGGGGAAAAGTCACATAATTTTACACGCCCACAATTTTATAGCGACAAGAAAAACACAAAGCATAACAAAAACTCTAAGCATCTCTGCGGCAAACCAAGAAAAACTCCAAATTCAGAAAAACCCCATACGAAAATCTACCAGCCCAGGTCACCAAAACCATCGAACTCGAGCAAAACCGCATTGGAGAAACAGATTGACCTATGAAACACCCAAAATTCACTCGCCCACACCCACCAAACATAATCTCAAGCAAGAAAGAAAGAAACCAACGAACGATCACAAACAGGAACAACCTCCCGAACCCAGGAAAAAAACACAGGACATCAACAATCAAAGCAAATCCTCCGAGAACGATCGAAACCACGGACGAGGAACGAGGCGGCGATTTGCGATCACCACCCTCAAGAGCGAAAGCTCCCCAAAGGAAAAAAAAGCAACGAAATTTAGTCCCGACTTCCGCTCTTTCGCACGCGAAACTCCAGCCCACGATGCGCTCTTCTCCTCCGAATGGAAAAAAGCGGAAACCACATGGAAAGCGAGAGTAGTCGTACTGACCTTCAGGAGCCACACCCCACGCACGCCACAGCAGTCTGGTGGAGAGAGAGAGACAGAAAAAGAGAGAGAAAGGCAGAGAGACAGAGGGACAGACTATTTTGTATTGTAGTGATCGGGTCGGGGCCGTCTCGTAATTACGGGGCCTCGGCGAGGGCATTTTCGTCAGAGGCGAATGTTACGAGACCGACATCGATCCAGCCTTTCGTGTTTTTTTTTTCACTCCCGTCGGCTCTTTTGCTTCGGGATTAAGGCTTGCGGGGTATCTCGTTGACCTCGCCGCTTGATCGATTTCCCCCGGTCAACGCGAAACAAGTTATGCAACGGCGCGTTTGTTAGTGGGAAGTGCTTTGTCGGGAACTTTACCCGCTTGGTTTGCCTAAAATGATCGATTAACAGAAAATACTTTCCTATCAAGAAAAATATTCATGCATAAAATTAGGAAGATTGAATTCTCTAATTTAAGAAGGTTATAACACTTTTCGAAATTGTTTCTCTTAAATTTCTTAATATCTTGTCCTTTCTTTTCTTCTTTCTTTTTTCTTTTCCTCCTTCCTCTTCCGCCGGTCGCCGGCTCATCGGGATGACCGGCGACTGGCCACAGGTGCGGGTCGGGCCGGCTTCAGGTGAGGCTCGAGCCTCACAAGCCTTGAGCGAGGTCAAGCTCACCCGAGGTCAGCCAAGTTGGCCCTCGCCAGCGGCCTGTTGTGACTGTCGCCGAGGCCAGGCCACTGAGAGGAAGAAGTAGGAAAAAAAAAAAGAAAAAAAAATTAAGAAAATAAGAGAAAATAAAAAATAATTTAGAAATTCATTTTTTTTTACTTGAGATAAAATCACGAGATTTAAATTATTTTTCAAATGAGATTCTAACACTAAAACACGTTTTCGATCACATGTAATCAAACAAGGAAATGTAACTATTTTTCGAAATATGATTTTTCGAAAAGCATTTTCCTTTATCATTGAGTTTTCCCTCCAAAACGAAGGCCACCTAAATAGCACATTGGTTTTAGTTGTTAATTAATGATGGGATGGTCGTAAATTTATGTCTACTTTCGATTGAGGTTTCCACGTCATGATGATGTCATAAATTACCCACGTTTTGATATGCGTTTGTTCTTGTTTGGTTATTAGTGTCGATGGCTTTAGCTTTTATGTTTATTTGGAGTTGTTATTCATTAAAAGTAGGAAATGCTAAGTAAAAGTATTTATCGATCCGGACACAAAAAATGTTGCCCTGTAGATTAAACTTGAAATTTTGATAAAATAGATGGGTAATAGAATTCTTTTTTGGGTACCCGTATTATAGAATTATTAGAAAAGAGGATTTTGTATACTATTAGTAATTGTACTCTTTCAACGATATTTTGATTCAATGATAATGGTTTATATAAAGAGTTAATACCACGAAAAATTCCAAACCAGTACACTTGTGATAAATTTATCTCAAATTAATTTTTTTATCACAAAAACCCCAAACCGGTACATTTGTGACAAATTTACCCCAAACTAATTTTTTAATCACTAAAAACTCATAAACTGGTCCATTTGTGACAAATTTATCCTCCGTTAAATTGAATTAATAAAAAAATCATAAACTAGTACACCCGTGACACATGGATGGTAAAACCCCAAAACTGACACGTTTGTCAGCTGTTACGTGTCATTTAACTCAGCAATTTGACAGTACGAAGGGTAAATTTGTCATTGGTGTATCAGTTTGGGTGTTTGGTGGTATTAACCCTAATATAGAACTTGAGGTCATCTCTCCTATTCCACTTTTAAATTTTATTTGAAATGTATGATTAAAAAAAACCGTTGAGCGAGAAGATAATAAATTAAGCCTCGGGATTCTCTCTTATCTAATTTTTAAAATCAGTTTCAAATCAAGCCGATTTTAGATAAAATGATTATATTATTGTTAGTTTTTGTCTCCATTTTTATTCATTATAAGTGTACTTGTTTTGATATACATAAACTTAGATAAAGACCAATCGGTTTGATTGCCTACTAACAATCTTTCACAATTATTTAATTGCCTGATGACAATCTTTCATGTCATTATGATGTACCAAATTTTTATTTCATATACTAAATTTAGTATAACTGCACTGGTCCATCAACTTTATCGGCTCGTTCATGATGCCAAAAGATTAGCAGCATCACACGTTATTTCACCATCATCGTCCACCACTATCATCACCGTTCACGGTGCTTCTTTTGCCACCTTCGTCACGTATGATCGCTGGTCGTGAAGTTGAAATCGGCGCAAGTGGTCCCCCGCAGCAGCACCGAGGAACTGAACCCCAGCCTCATCGACCCGAGGTCGAACTGCAGCAGGTTGTCCTCCATCTGGTGCCCTCCGATCACCACCGCCGCCCGCGCCTCGGCCCCGCCGTCCACGACCCCCAGGCACCACACGTCCGTCCCCTTCCTCGTGATCCTCACCATCGAATTCGCCCCCGACACCCTCCAGAACACGTCCTCACTCTGCATCACCAGGTCGATCGCTGGCACGGCAGGGCCTGCGCGGGTGCTGGCCACGTCTCCGGCAGAGTAGCACAAGCTGAACGGCTTCACCGGCCGTGTCGCAGGGAGGTGGAATGCGGCGGAGGCCTCCCGCGCGAACGCCTCGGTGACCGCCCTGTAGATGGAGGTCTGGAGCGCGGTGTAAGGCAGGACGGTGCTGATCATGGTCCCGCCGCGACCGCTCTCCTGGTCGATCGCCAGCAGAGTGGCGTTCAGCGGTACGGCCTTCCCGTTGACCCTGACAGCTGTCAAGCCGACGTAGTACTCCGCTGCCGGCTCCCGCGCGTACGTGATCACGGTGTCTCCCTGTGGGTTCAGGAGGATCGGCGTGTAGGTGAGGCCCTTGGAGAGGTCTATCCCGGGGATGAAGTTGTAGGGGCCAGCCGTGCCCACGAAGGCGACGCCGGCAGCCGACCGAGACCCAGACATGCACAACGCGAAGCACCGCGGCAGGGACAGGGCCTCGGTGACCAGCTCGGGAAGGGAGACATTGGAGAACCCGAGCGCGGCGAGGCCGGAGGTCCCCTTCGGGAATTCGGCAAGCAGGTCGGCCTTGGCGCAGGAGAAGAGGAAGTCGGGCACGACCTCCACCCGCCCCAGGCTCGACCCGTCCGTGGAAGGGAGGCCGAGGGCGTCCACGAGGGCGTTCTCGAGGCCGACCTTCCGGTTGATGGGGTTCTCGGGGAAGTACTCGCAGGTGTCGTTGGAGCAGGTGGGGCCGGCCGGGCGGTCATAGCAGTAGCCGCAGGCGAGGGAGTCTAGGGGGACGCAGACGGAGAAGTTGCAGGGGATGTTGCGGTAGGTGGCGGAGGAGTAGCCGCCGGAGTAGCAGTCGACCCAGGAGAAGCGGCCGCCGAGGTGGAGGAGGAGGTCGAGGCGTTGGGGAGGGGTCTTCAGGTAAGCCGAGAGGGTGTAGCGGAGGGTCGTGTGGTCCTTCCGGATAGGGGCGAGCAAGGGCAAGGACAGCGGCGGCGGTGGCGAGGTTGAGAGTGAGAGCGTTGGAGAAGGAGTGACAGTGATGATGGGGATGAGGAAGAGGAAGAGGACGAGGACGAGGACGTGGAGCGGCATCGTATTCGGATTCGGTGCGTTGAGTTTTTGTCGGCGAGAGAAAAGGGTTTGAACGAGCTCTATTAAAAGGGCATGAGCGCAATACGACAAAATCCAATTCAACGTGCGCTGACACACACCGGATTGGCAACATGTTGGGGATCTTATCTCTCTGGCTTTTGGACTTTTTGGATCGAATTCGCCTTAGATTTGGCGTGAATTCTTTGACCAAGCACTGGAGAGCACAGAGCATCCAAAGTCCACCACATGCACCGGGCGTGATAACTTCGTTCGAGGTTTCATGCTCGACCGCTGGACGTGCCGTATTCACGAAGAATCTGAGTGAGCCCGCGGGCGTGACGAGAGGAGACTGTGTGAACACAAGGACAATTCTCGCACATCCAATGGGAACTCTTATCAGTATGCTGCGGCAATATAAGTTTGGTAAAGACAAAAGGGTATGCATATAGACTAATCGGGCACTAAATGCACAAGCTTTGTATGCTGTTTCCGCGGCAACCTTGGCCATGTAATGATTAAATTACTCATGCTTTGAAAGTCGACTGGGAAGGAGAGAAAAAGGGGAAGCGAGGGAGGGTCTGATGGGGTTTTCTTTTAAGTTCAGAGTTACGTATGGGTGATGTTAATTAGGATATAGATGGACAATCCAAAATTGGAGAGCGTAAAATCTCCTCCAATTTGAGTGTGGGGGGAAGATTTGCACTGTTTTATTTTGAGCCATGTTTCCCCGATTCTTGGTTGGGGGAAATTTTTCCAACCCATTTTCGGTGGGTTAAGAACGTATACACCATCCATATTATGTCTATTTATTTTAGTTTGCATGTAGGTGATATAACTTTATTTTCAATCGAACATTATAAGATTGTACATCCCATCGTGGTTGAAACCTTTTTTTTTTTATTATTCATTAGAGATACCAATTAATAAAGGAAGTATAACTCTTTCATTTTTCAATTGTAACCTAGTTATAATAGTGGTTGTGCTTTCTTCTATCTCTAGTTAGAGGGAAAAATTTAATTAGTAGATTACATATATTCACATGATCCAAACTTAAACTTAACCAAACATAAATGTAACTACGTCTATTTTTATAGCTCACCGACCGTCAGAAGCATTTCCCCAATCAAGGATGGGAAAAAAGCCTCATAACAAATTGAAGTTCCAATTCAAGATTTGCTTGTACTTTACTGCTAGGGTTAATGAAATAAAAAAATATATATCATTTTTCTCTGACCAACATTTAGATCGGTGAGTTACATATTGTGGACATCATTCACAAGGACTGTATTTTTCTCCAACTGCGCTCTTCTAATTGGTGTGTCACAAGTTTTGGATATTATTCACATGCAAAATTAATCAAATATAAATATATGCGATATTCACAATTATAACTTACATTCAAAAGGGTGATTGGAGGAATTTTCTCCAATTAAAGTTTGAGAAAAACGTGAATCGATGCAACATTTTTTAAATATATGTGTGATGTCCGTGATTGTGATTGATCAAAGGGGTCATGGGATGAAGGAAAGTATGACCATATGAAATCCTGACTGCAGTCTCTTGATCCGAGACACGGATTATTTATTCATCTGGCTCAAACCGGCCATGTGCGTGGACATTTAATGAGTTGATTGCTGAAATTGTACTGAAACATTAGATAATGTCAAAAGAGCTTGGGATCCTAAACGATTCTTTGTTGACACCTAAATTTTACCTATTCATTTAGGGTTTAATTGCATGAAAAATTAAGGATTAATTTTTAACCCCTAAACGAAAATATTTTCTTTAAATTAATTGGCATATAGATGTTAGGCGCATTTGCATTAATAGAATTTAGTGAAAACATATTTTCCTCTTATTTTATTTCATTTCATTTTTATTTTGTGTTAAAAAATCATTATTTTAAAAAAAAAAAAAGAAGAAAAGAAAAAAAAGAGAAGAAAAAAAAAAAGTAAAAAGGGAGCTCTTCCCCATGGACAGAGGCTCTACCTTTTTGACTTACAAAAAAATAAGAAAAGGGGGAAAGGACACAAAAGAAAGGGGTCTGCGTGTTTTCTTGAAGAAGAAAAAGAAAAGCTGAGGAGAAGAGACAAAAACGGAGGGGAGCTCTCTTCTCCCCCTTGGGGACTATGGTAGCGAATGATCAGCAGATTCTGCATTCGGAATGAGTTACGAACCCAGAAATAGATTTTTATTTACTGTTCGCAGATGAAGTTCGAGAAAAAAAACTCGTTTGATAATGACAAAAAATTTCTATTTCTAGAACGAAACCCGTTTGATAACAAAGACAAAATTTCTATTTCTGAAATAAAAACCCGTTTGATAAACAACAGAAAATTCTATTTCCAGGAACAAAATTTTTAGAAATGGAATAAAAATAATAAAAAATCCGAAAAATTCATAAAAATCTTTAAAAAAATTCAGAAAATCCCAAAAAATTGAAAAATTCCAGAAAAAATCATCAAAATGTCGAGAAAATAAAAAAAATTTAGATTTCGGGAAAATAGGAAATTTGTTGAATTTTTTCAAAAAAAAATCAAGAAATAAAAAATTTCAAAACTTCATGAGAATTGCTTAGAATACTGTGGCCACCACTTTAGTGAAATTTAAATTTTTTAGGTGCCCAAAAAAAATCAAAAATTTCAAAACTTCACAGAATAGTTTAGAATACATGTGGCCACCCACTTTGAGTGAAATTTAAATTTTTTAAGGTGCCCAAAAAAATTCAAAAACTCAAAAATTTCAAAACTTTCTGGAATGGGCTTAGAATACCTTGTGCATTAGCTTTGAGTGAAATTTTAATTTTTGGAGGTGAAAAAAAAGGAAAAAAAATCAAAAATTTCAAAACTTTACAGAATGACTTAGAATACATGTGGCCATCCACTTTGAGTGAAATTTAAATTTTTTTAGGTGAAAAAAAACATAAAAAATCAAAAATTTCAAAACTTCACAGAATGACTTATAATACCTCTAGCCACCCATTTTGAGTAAAATTTAATTTTTTTTAGATGCCCAAATGGTATTTTTGATTTTTTTTTTTGGTTCCTAAAGAAAATTAAATTTCACTCAAAGTGGATAGCCACATGTATCCTAAGCCACTCTGTGAAGTTTTGAAATTTTTTCTTTTTGCTTATTTTTATTTTTTTTTTCGACACCTAAAAAAAATTAAATTTCACTCAAAGTGGGTGGCCACAGTATTCTAAGCAATTATGTAAAGTTTTTTTTTTTTTATTTTTTATTTTTTATTTAGACCTAAAAAAATTTAAATTTCGCTTAAAGTGGATGGCCACAGGTATTCTAAGCCATTTTGTAAAGTTTTGAAATTTTTTCTTTTTTTCTTTTTATTTTTTATTTTTTTCGGCACCTAAAAAAATAAAATTTCGCTCAAAGTGGGTGGCCAGGTATTTTAAGCCATTCTGTAAAGTTTTGAAATTTTTACTTTTTGCTTATTTTTATTTTTTGGCATATAAAAAAATTAAAATTTACCCAAAGTGGGTGGCCACGGGTATTTTAAGCTATTCTGTGAAGTTTTGAAATTTTTTATTTTTTTTTTTTTATTTTTCGGCACCTAAAAAAATTTAAATTTCACTCAAAGTGGATGGCCACAAGTATTCTAAGCCATTCTATGAAGTTTTGAAATTTTTGATTTTTTGCTTTTTTGATTTTTTTTTAGGCACCTAAAAAAAATAAAATTTCGCTCAAATTGGGTGGCCACAAGTATTAAGATATTCAATGAAGTTTTTAAATTTTAGAATTTTTATTTTTTTGGCAACTAAAAAATTAAATTTGCTTTCAAAGTGGGTGGCCAAAGGTTTTAAAGCCTTTTTGTGAAATTTTGAAATTTTTTATTTTTATTTATTTTTTTGGTACCTAAAAAATTTAAATTTCATTTGAAAGTGGGTAGCCTGATTCTAAACCATTACATTAAGTTTTGAAATTTTTGATTTTTGCTTTTTTCTCATCTCAAAGATCGTGACTTATATGAATATGTGTGTTGAAGAAAATGAATTCTCGAAATGGTTCTCACTTTTGTTCAAAATGAAAAACCAACTTTTTTTGGTTCTCATTTCTAGTTTTAAATCGATTTTGGAAGCAAACTTGTCCGGAAATAGAAAAATGAAATTGCGTTACAAAGCGGGTTTAAGGTCAAAGCGATTCGGGAATAAAAAACCGGTTCTAAACAGAACTGAATGGTTTTCATGCGGCACCTATATGTCCGTCTCGGAGAGAAAAAGGCCGGGGGGTGAAGCGAGAAAGGGAGAGTGAGCTCGAGAGAGACATCCATAGAGAGAAATCCGAGGGAGAGATCCGAGAGAGAAAATTCCGGAGAGGGAAAGAGAGTGACGAGCTTGCTCGACCGCACTTGAGCGTCATTCGACGTCTCCGGCCGCGTCGCTCGAGCCCGCGGCCCCCTTTCCTCGCCCAAGGTGGGTTTTCGTTTTTTGTTTTCTTTATGAGTTTTGAGCGATTTCCCGAGGGATTAGGCAGGGGGTATGCGAGGCGACCGGACGTAGTCCAGATCCATCAAGTTCGCCGTCGTTCGTCGCCCCCAAGCCGGATAGGGACCGCCGCAACGACACCTCCCCTCCCCCCTGCTGTCTCGCTCGTTTAGCTTCTATCCACTTGGCTTGTGGCGGCGAGCTCGCGCATGGCCGTCCGGCCATGAGTTCCGCCCGTGAGGCCTCGTGCTTGCTCCCGCCGTTTTTTGTGTCTTGTGTTGACGATTTTGGTCCGTTTCGAGCCTCGATCGAGTCCGAAATTTCCCGTTTTCGTCGCGCGCTCCAGCTGTTTGATGTTTTGCCTGAGTGAGATCTGTGTGTTGTTTTCCTCTGTACGTGATGCATTCCCGAACTAGGGCGGAGATCGATCGCCTCCTTGCGCTCAACCAAAGGCGCTTGTCGTCGGCGAACGATGAAGGTCCAGTAAAAGGGGCGACGCACGAGCGAGGAGCTCGTTTGGCCGATCCCCTCATCGGGGCTCAGCCGGTTCGTGGCCAGGCCATCCCTCGTCGGGGCTCGGTCGGTTCGGTTTCGATCACCACGGTCGCCGCGGTGGCGGCAGCGGAAGGAAGCGGCTCGTGGCGGCGGTCCGGACAGCCATCGCGGGCGAAGAACTTTCGCCACTCTCGTCGGGGTGGCGATGCGCACGCCTGGCGGCGGCGGAAAGGGCCCTGCCGTGAGGCGAGCGTGCGCTCCCCGTCGAAGCGGCGGTTGGCGAGGGCGACGGCGGTCGGCGTTCGCGCCGCGAGGGCTGGCGCGAGTGGGTGGCACGTGCGAAGGCGGCCCCGAGCCAGGTCAGGCGATTCAGGCGCACCGGGTAGGGTTTCCGGTGAGTCGGGTCGCGGGTCTGACCAGATTGGACTTCCTTTAGTACGTGGGCTTTAGGGTTTATTAGGTTTTGGGCTTTTCTTTTTTTAGTTTAGTTAGAATAGCTTTTTTAGGGTCTTGGGCCATTTTTTGCGGATGGGCCGAATGGTTAATTTGGGCTGAAGGTTTATTTAATCATTTAGTCATAGTGGGCTGGGCTTAGACCTTTTCTTTCTCTTTTGTTTTATTTAGGCCCTCGCGGTGGATCCGGGCCGGCGCGCCCGGGTTGGCTTCGACTCGGGTCGGATGTGGAGATCCGACCCGGGTCCGTTTTTATATTATTTAATATTATATTATTATTTTAACATAAAAAATATTTTTTAAAAAAAATTAAAAAAAATTAAAAAAATTTCGAAAATTAAAAAAATGTTATTTAGGCTTTGGAATTGGCTTTTCTTGCCCTTTTTGCATGACTAGTGTCATTTTTTATTGCATGTTGATCGATTCATACACTTTGAATTGTGCATTTAACTTAACTTCGCATGTGGTCGATTACGCATGTTAGGTTTAGATGTTAATTGTTGCTTCCCTTAGCTCAATTAGGAATGGAATTTTGAGACTCCCAATTAGTGTGAACACGTTAGGTGGTGAATTGAACAAGATTAGGTACCGAAAGGGCACTAATTAGTCAATTAGTGTAATCAAGTCCCCGTACCCATTGAATCTCTGGTTCGTAGAAGTAAAGCATTTCTCCCGTGCTTTACTTGGGTGTCTAATCGACCCACCAAAAATCGATTAGTGGCGACTCCTAGATGAAATTGATTTGCATGTTAACAATTTAAACTTAAGTCGCGAATTGGTATGGGCTTGGGAGAGCTTGAGCTAGGTTTAGCTTAGTAATCCATTAGCCAAACCCCTTAGGCGGCTGGGCCGGTTCGGGGGAGGTCGCGACATTCTTTTCTAAGATTGGAACCTTGACATTTAATAATGTCAACGGTTCCCTTCTTCCTTGACCGTTCCTCACGTGCCTCCAAGAAACTAAAATAAAACAAGATAAAAAGCTCTTCCCTTATTGCATAGATACATCTCTCATGAACATTGTTCAAACAGGGGAAAAAAGGTGAAAAAAAGGTGAAAAAAAGGGTAGATTGATCTTCTATTGGTGAAGCGCCACTGATCAATTCTTTTGCAATTAGAGAAAGACTTTAATCTAAAATGTATAAAAATGCTAATTAAGAGGGACAATGAAAACAAACAATGACCTTCAATAATGGGACATCATATAAGGTTGAAATCAGAAGAGCTTGCACTAATATTTCTGGCCAGTTTCAATCATCGAAGCTCTAAAATGAATGTAATGCCTGTCTTTAATTCCTTACACATGCATGCATTACCTCAAGGAAACTATAGACTCGAAGATGTGAAATTGAAGTTAGAGCATGTGGTCTGACGGAACAACAGCGACGAACTAAACCCAAGCTTTTGCCCAACCAGATCAAACAACAAGAAGTTGTTCTCCATCTGATACGACCCTACCACCATTGCTTGCTCGGCCCTCTCCCCGCCGTCGACGAACGCGAGGCACGCCACGTTGTCGCTCACTTGCTTCATTGAGTTCGCCCCGATGATTGTCCAGTTCCTCCCGTTCCCGAGCACAAGATCGATCCAGGGTACTGGCAACCCGACCCTCGTCGACCCTAGCGCGCTCGTGTTGAGGCAGAGATCGAAAGGCTTCACCTTCCGTGCACGTGGTATCCCTCTTGTCGACCAGGCAAAGAGCTTGAGGAAAGGCTGGTACACGTGGCTCCGGAGGGTCGTGTACGGAGCCACCGTGCTCAGCTTGATCCCGCCATGGCCAAGAGAGTCGAACTCGAGCATGCGCTGCAAGAACGAAGCCGGCTCACCATTGATGCAGATGGATCGGACGTCAATGTAGTAGTCGAGATTGTTCTCCGTCATGGGGTTCTTTAGCAATGAAGTGAAGGAGAGGAACTGTGTGACGTCTGTACCTGGCGGCGGAAGCAAGTAAAATGGCCCGTTTCCGAAGAAGCTCGCTCCGGGGGATGAAGAACTGCTCGGCAAGCAAATTGCGAACTGCTTGTTGACCACCGTAGCTCCAATAGCGTTCTTGAATCGTGAGGGGAGGGAGAACGAACCGGGTGAGAGGCTCGCCATTCCTGAAGATCCAGACGGGAATGAACGAAACAACGATTCTGGAGCGCAAGCGAACAGGACGCCATTCACCAAAATATTTGCTTTCGGGATATGGCCATCCGTCGACGGAATCACTATGTCGTGGGCTGACAGCTTCGACAACGCACACGACTCGGCGATGGGGTTCGATGCTGTCACCGTACACGCGCAATCTTGATGACTGGAGCTCGAGCTATTCTCACCATCGATTTGGAGCCTACTCGGATGATGACAAGACTCAGGATCAGGCTGGTGGCGTCTTGCTGCGACACATTGCTGGGAGGCACAGGGAATGAGACGATCTCGCGGGCTGCAGCGACGCCATGAAAATGGGGACGAGAGGTCAATAACGAAGCCGCCGCCATCGTTCGGACCGAGGGTGATGGAGTAGAGAGAGGTGGACGAGTCTTTGATGATGGGTGAAACTAGGGCATGGTAGGGTTGGGCCGAAGAAGCAATGGTACCAAGAGCGAGCTGAAGCATGAAGATGACGGTGAGAGGAGGAGGAAGAGGAGGAAGAAGAAGAAGAAGCACCATTGTGTTTTAGCTTGAGGGTCAAATGGGTTGAGGATGAGGCAATTTAGAAGGCTTGTGAGGGGCAGCAATGGAACGTTGACTTAAACTAGTGTAGTCTATCAATAACAAGATCTACAAATTTAAATGATGTTAATATGCACATCCCGCATTGTCTGTTGTATATATGAGCAGTTATCTATCATCTTGATTCTGATAGATATGGGATGTAGAATATTGTGATTACTAAGCAATATCTCCCCTTAACTGGGGATAGTGCTTAGCTATACAAATGTATTATCATTAGGTACACGAAATGACGTGACATAATGTTTTTGGATGTTCCATATGAGCTCACTTGCAGTTTGTTGGACCATTTAACACACTAAGTTGATAGACCGACCTTGGTTTGCATAATATTGCCATTCCAAACTATTTTGAAGTGCTTTAATGGCTAGTAAAAAATGTGGTACCGAAAAATTAATGTTGTTAAGTTCATTAATTCACTGACGGGAACTCGAAGTTTAGTATACAAGATCTAATAGATCTAGTATTTTTTTTAATATAGTCAAATTTGCTGGGATCTCGATGCAATTAACTATTCCATGCAACAAAGTCAAAGTTGAGAGGAGTAAGTTGCAATTTTCAGCTTTGAATATCTCGTTTGGACTGCCCTAGCTGCATTAAATAGTTTCATGATCATGTTTCTTATCTGGGTAGATTAGAAGGGTCACGACTATGACATGTGAAATCCACAATCTTATCACGATACAAGCTTGATGCTTATATTAGGGTACGTTTATTTCACGGAAAGTTCAAGATTTGAAAAATATTTTTCGAAAAATAATCACTTATATTGCTTACAAAAATGAATGAATATAAAATATTTTCATCACCTTCGAAAATAATTGGGTATAAATTGTTGCCAATAATAAATATATTTTCCCATGACTAATTTTTTTAAGCAATATAACCATTCATTTTTTGAAAATATTTTCCAAACCTTGAGTTTTCTATGAAACAAACACACCCTCAATGTCTTTAAATCCAAACCTCCCCCATTGTTTGCTAAGCATATCTAGGACCGTTTTAGCTTAGCTCCTCGAGCGCTTTCAGTTGTACCTTTCCGAAAGAAAGAGCTACGAAAGTCGCTTTTTTTGCTCAAGGAAAGTGCGAAATCATATGGGATTCACAATTTTCGAAGTTAATCTCAAAATCGAAAAGGCTCCTTAACATTGTTCAGTACGGGAAACAAATTTAGAGCACTAAGCACAACGATAAGAAACAATGCTTGGAGAAACAATCAACATTTGATACCCGAAATGCGAAATACCGACTGTTATTGAGGAGTAAAGGTGGTGAGGAAAGTCCAATCTGGACTATGGTTTTGGGTTTAGTATAGACGAGAGATCTTAATGTATTGGGCTTAATGAAAACTAACTTACCCTTGGCTCGTAATGAAAAACAAATTACCTTCTTTTGATCATCTCCAAAATTACACATATCAAGCTATGGATTTGCTACACAACATACTTTTCAAGCAATATTGCATCATCCATTGTATCTTTTCATTGAAAGGAATATATCAATCGGATTCAAATATCATGTTGTTAGCAACGGGAGAGTACTTAAATCGTCTTCAAAATAACAGTACTGAGGCTAACATCGTCATGAAACATAATATCGAGACCAAAATCACACATCTTTCCAACTACACGAATGGAAATTTATTTTCCTTAATTTAGGGGTTTGGGTCAATAAATGCAAAGCACCACAAAATCAATCTTTAGACTGAGGAGAATTCATGGGCACTCTCAAAAAATCCATTATCAACCCTGAACCTCAAATCAATATCCAACAATTTCCTAAATTAGTGTTAGCAATGCTACTTAGCCAATGAAAACTCAGTCATATGAAGTTGAATCTTTACGCCATGCAGCATTAATGAAAAAATCTGCGAAGTACTATGACTACCTGAAAGAATCGACCTATCAAACTGGAAAAAAAACTATGAAACTTCAAGAAATCACTTGGCACTAGAATACCATGTAAGTATTTTCCTCAAGGCAACTCAAACAAAAATAGACTAGCACTCAGCGGTTCTGTGACCTCGTACTTTCGATACTTCCTCAAACTTTCGCCATTTCCAAAAGGGATAATGACACAAACAGTCCATGAATTTTGACTTAATGTGCGATTTGGTCCATGAACTTTTAATTTGTTTAATGTAGTCCCTGAATTTTAGTACAATGTTCAATGTGGTTCATGAACTTTTAATTTGTTTAATGTGATCTCTAAACTTTTGATAAATGTTTAATTTAATCTTTGAACTATATAAAAATGTTCAGTATAGTCCTTCCATTAATTCAAGTTCAGGAACTACATTGAACATTTTCATATAGTTCATGGACTGAATTGAACATGTACCAAAAGTTCATGGATGAAATTGAACAAAGTGAAAGTTTAGGAATCATATTGCACATTGGATTAAAGTTCATGGACTAGATTAAACAAATTAAAAGTTCATGGACCAAATTGCACATTAAGCCAAAGTTCAAAATTTGTTTGTGTTATTTTCCCTTTTTGAAAGTGAAGCAAGTAGATACGCTCGAACCAGAAGATGGATTATAAATCCCTTAATTGAGCGCGAATCCACCACTAGAATCATAAGCAAAACCATCGCATACGTGAAACACCATAGACACGATGCTACAAGAGTTTAAAGCGCGGGCGAAAGGGAAATGATCACCAGCGGGCTGAGACGTCAACGGCGGCAAGATCTAGAGGCGGAGCTTGCCATCCCAGGAGCTGGAGAGGGCCAACTGGCCGTCGGAGGAGAGGACGACGTCCTGAACGAAGTGGGAGTGGCCGGTGAGGCGGTGGCGCTGTAGGCCGTAGACCTTGTCCAGGGGACAATTACTAAAAAAATCTTAAGCCTATTATTACACTTGTGCCAATTCAATTATAAATCTTTCAATTGTACCAATTGAGTCCTAAACCTTTTCACATTTTGCCAATTTTGGCCGGAAAATCGCTGACTTGGACGTCGGCTGACGTGAACATTTTTTTTAATAAATATTTTAATAATTTTTTTTCTCTCTAATACTTTGCAGGAATACACGCCTTTTTCAAGAGCAAAGTAAGATCCGAAGGGGGGGGGGGGGGAATGAATTTCATGCTCGGTTTAATAATCACGCCTGGGATCTTTTCCGCCTTCCTCACGTCACATCATTGGTTGCAGTTCGATCGATATCTAGAAATGTACATGATCAGGTATAATTACAGTGATATTGTAATAATCGAGCTTTGCCCCTTTTCTTAAATAAATAAAAAGAGAGAGAGAGAGGGTATAATTGCATTGACACATGAAACCCCAAGCCCAAGCCCAAGCCCAAGCGTTGACTAAGTGTGTGACCCACCTCTCCTCCCCCTCTCTCTGAGAAACTGGTGAGTAAAAGCCCTAGTGATCGTCTTCCTCGCCAGCGGGTGACGATGAAGCTGGTCAGGTTCTTGATGAAGCTGAACAACGAGACCGTCTCCATCGAGCTCAAGAACGGGACCGTCGTTCATGGCACCATCACAGGTCTCCTTATTCTCTCTCTCTCGGTCGACTCTTTTTCCCCTGCATAGTTCAACATATATCTCTGCATTCAGTAGATAATGCCTAGAGCAGTGTCAGACCTGTGTCGCGAGATGGTTAGGTGATCCTTTGAGCGGGGCAGAAGTGAAAAAAAGGGATGTAATTCACATTGACTTAGACGTCTTTGGAGTTTGGTGGCAGTGATGGCTGCTCAATCTATGACTTTCAAGTGCTCTAGATGTTTGGACTCATTGATAGAACCTTGAGCTCGTGGACATGTATCATGTTGGTGGGCATTGCCTAGGAACGGTGCGCTGATGCTGTGAATTGGGTGAGGGTGACTTTTTAAGTTGCGGGGTTTAGTTCTTCCTCTGTGAAAGAGGTCCTAAGTGGCCTTTGAATTGCATCGACAAGCGACTAGTTTGTGTCGTTACGTTTGAAGGGAGTGTCATGGATAGGTTGAGTTGTTTTCCAATTTCCTACGGACAAGACGTAGTACGTGCTTTTTTTGGCTACACTAGCTACTGCTCTGCTCATTCCAGGAAATGGGAAAATGCTCTTTTCTTGTTCTTTATGTTGTTTTCCTCATCTTGTCGTGCGTTTTTCCTTCCTCTTACAACAAATTGCTCGCTAGTAATGACTCATGAAGTGTGGTGTCGTGTTTAGTGTTAGGAGAATGTATGCAAATGTTCTCCAGTTAAGATCTTTGAGCCTTATGGAACACTTTGTGTATGTGTAAGTGTTGCTTTCAAGAGTTATCATGTTCTTTCAGACGTTTGTGAGTGAGTTACCTTTGTGTAAAGTTCTTTTGATTTCCAGTACTAGTTGTCATCCTGAATTCTGTACATTCGTTTGTATGAGGATTGGTCCAAAAGGAATGCTTATGCTAGATTTGTCAACGTAGTAGTTCCAGTTTATTAGCCGAAGAAATAAATAATTAAATTAACAGTTTATTGTCATATTTCAGCACGATTACCCTGGACTCAATGGCTGAAATTCTTTTGCTACTTTATTTTGTGAATCAGAAAAGTCCCTCTCTCTGATGTTGGTCATGAATGACAATATGTCTTCATGGAACTTTTAGAAGCACGATAAACATAGTTACAGTTGGGAGTATAGGAACATGTCCATACCTTTATGAGAATCCTACATGTAAGGATGCACATGTCCGTACATGAATTATTATTTTTCAAGTTCAAGTCTGCCAAATAAAATGGACTGCCATTTGATTGCTTTAGTGATGGGTTGAGTTGAAGATGCTACTGCTCCTCAGTAATGGGACATGAAGTTGTACTACTTCTTTGGCCTTGGGATCATATTATATCGAAAGAGTGGATGTGATCTCTGAAATATGTTAGTTCTCAATTAATTTCTGCGGAACCTGGAAGAGAATTTACTGGGGGTGATTATATTATCTCGAACTAAGAGACATTCCTGTTCTGATGATAAAATCTATTGCTGTAGTGTCATTCGTTGAATGGATAGCTGGCTGTTCGATGTAGGATACAATTTTGATGACCTCTAGACCTAAGATAAGTTGGTGCTCTTTTCTTGCAGGACCTTTTTTTCTAATTATTTAAACCTCAGTATCAAAAGTGATGATTGAAACATGGCTAAATTGGAGTTGAATCCTCCTTGTTTTTACTGAACAAAAAATTGACACACTGGAAAGTGAAAGGACCATAATTGAAATGGGAGTGGAAGTTATAGATTGTAGAATATATTTGGCCAAAGAACTTGTTCATTTGGGTTATTAAGGTCTTTGTTTCATATGTTTTTTTTTAATAAGGAGGAGTTATGCTAAGTGGTATTGGCTTAGATCACTCAAGCATACCGAAGTTCTGGCATTTGTTTGAAGTTCTACTGTTTCTGCTCCTCTAGATTGAAGAAGTTGATGAAACTTTGTAATGGTGGTACCGTGTCATGCCTTAACCTTCACTCATTATCGAATGATATTTTGATTCAATTTCTTGTACTTAAGACTATTTGTCCTAATTTATTAACTACTTGCTACAAGTGTGCAAACTTTCGTGTACTGATGGTCATATAGCAGTAAAAGGTTTTATCTCACCTGCTTCTAAAGTTATGATGAGATCAATGACTGTTCTGACCAGAATACATTGTTGGGTCATTACAGGTGTTGACATCAGCATGAACACACATCTGAAGACTGTGAAACTTACTCTGAAGGGGAAAAATCCTGTGACTCTTGATCACTTGAGTGTGAGGGGTAACAACATTCGCTACTACATCCTTCCTGACAGTTTGAATCTAGAGACCCTATTGGTAGAAGAGACACCAAGGGTCAAGCCCAAGAAGCCAACTGCAGGTATGTGAGCTACATTTTTAATACATTTTGAAATCATTCTTAACTTTACCTGCCTTGATCCTCATTTCCTTTTACATTCTGCTATGCCATGAACAATTGTGCTACTTGCTATGTCAGGGAGGGCTGTGGGACGTGGTCGAGGCCGAGGACGAGGCCGTGGACGGGGGCGTGGACGTTAACTTGTCTCTGCTGACTTACATTGTTTCTTTGGGAACTAGTCTTGTGAACAACAGGCAAATGCTGGTTATATTGCCTTTGTGGTTTGGAGGTATCTTCGTTGTTGATTCAGGTGTGAAAACTTTGGAGTTGCAATTCTTTTCATTGATCTACTCCGCGGAAACTGTAGTCTCCCTTGAATATGGATCTTAATATGCTTAAGCTTGTAATGTAGAGTACAACTTTTGTGCAACAATTAGCTATGATAGACAAGGATTCTAAATCTGTGGCAGCTCATTCTTCTTGTGCCCATGCCTTCCTCACCAGAACGAAGTCTCCATATCAAGGGTATGGTGAAGACAATTGGCTTAATTTTTGCTTGATCATGTTGCCTAAACTGATAACGACAACGGTCTACAGGTCGATCATTCGGTCGATTGAGAAGGCAGTGGGCATTCTCCAGTCGAATATTAAACTCATGAATCGCTGAGGCGCAATACTGTAGCCACTGGTGAGGAATTTCAAAATTCTCCTTTCGTTTTCCGCAGCTAGATTTGCAAGCAGCCTTACTGACTTAGATCCTTGCTTGTATAGATTAGGCTAGAGATCTCGGGCCTTATCGCTATGAAATTGCCATGGGGTTCAAAACAATTCTCACATGAATTCAGTGCACATTGGCCCAATGCATTTGGATCATCGAATACAGAGAAGTCGGTTGATTTCCACTAGGTCCAGTGGCTTCGTTTCTAATTCTTAGTCCTTCATTTCTCTATATTACCGAGCCACGTGTTAGTAGCTTCTGCCGACTCATGTCATTTTCTTTCGGTATGCGATAAAGGGCAATGAAATGAATAGTAGCTCGAGGTGCAATCCGTTTATTAGACGAATTTTAACAGAACACGGCCTTGCTAAAGTTTCCACTTCTACTAAACTGGTGTGAAAAATTTCTACATCAGAAGGTGCAGAAACATTTAGGCGGCCCGGCCCCCCATGGCATCGTTTTCGTTAATTTGCATGTGTACGACAGAGCTGTGGATGTGGATTGCAAGCAACCTAGAAAGGACCGAGGGAGGAAAAGTCATTCATGCGCAGGTTGTTGGTGAGGAGTCAAGTTTTTAAGGGTCATGGCCGAAACGATCTTGAATCGGACAGATGATGGTTTTGGTTAGGTGGACTGTCTCTTGCCCAAAATCAGAATATTTGGAGGGACCTCCTCCTGTTATCTCTCCTGTCAATTGAAGTTCAGCTCTAATTCTCTACGTGACCTACAGGAGCAAAATAAATGTGAAAGGATGTCTGAATGCGTCTATGGGATCTGTCACTTTTCATTGAAATTTTGACCAACATATTTATGATCCTGATATTTTCATTCAGTAAAATTTCTGGATAGGGACGTGTTTCCCTTGGACGGAAAAACCTAACATGAACTCGGGGGTAGACGTGTGGTGATTTGATCGCTCGATCGGGCGAAGTTCTATGCGCAATTTATAAAACTCGATCATCTAGATGTATTCGATGCGCATGCACTTGATGTGAGAAAATTTAATAGGTTTCTAAGTAGTGATGCTTGTGGCAAATTCACTAGGGCCTTGTTTGGTTCGTCGGCAAGGAAATTATAAGTTGATTCTCGTTCCGAATAATCACATTCCGCGGAATACCTTTATATTGAAGTCTTAAGGGAAAAGCACAACTGAACCATTGAATGCTATATGTTCTACTTTTTTCGTCTTTTATCTTTTCCGTCTTTTTCTCCACTCTCTTCTTCCCCTCTAGACTTGGACCATACGACCGGATCGTCGGCCGGCCGTCACAAAGCAACCATCGGTCCGCCACAAGTTTCGTTCCATCGATGGTATCATCATTCTCGTTTTAAATGCTCACTCTTGATCTCAACACGACACCAACGAATGAAATGAAACTAGGAAAAGGAACCCCCGGTAATTCCTTCTATCAGAAATATCCTTGATTATGTCCATTTACTCTCTATTTCCTTGTGCATTGTAGGGCTTGTAAAAGTTTGGTTCATTAAGAGAGAATGATCTAAATTTCTTCCAAATGAGAAATATTTAACTTACAAAAGATAAAGAAATTTTTCAATTTTAATTTGGAAATTGTTAGAGATTTAGGTTATGCATGTTAGAGAAGATTGTGAAAGAAGAGAAAGGTTCTTAAAGATGTCATCTTATTTGGATGGAGGGAAAATTCGAAAGGATTGATGTAGCTAATGTTACGTGTTTCTTTGGAATCCCTCCAAATCCGTTTAAATATGGAGGATTTAATGTGCTTCATAAATAAAATTTTCTCCTTTTTTGTTATACTTATATCCTGGTATTATTTTACATTTTAAGTACATAAAAAGGCCGATTAATTCATGACGCATTCCTTTCTATTCTTCTCACTCGTAACATTCGAACGATATTGTAACTTAAATTCTCTCCATTTCGTTTCTCTTTCTTCTCTCTCGTAATTACTTGATCTCACTAGATCTACGCGAGGGCCCGCGCCGGCTATCCCTCCAAACAACAAAAAAAAAAAGTGAAGAAAAGGGAAAAAAAAAGAAAAAAACCATAAAATATTAAACATTATTAAAATAGTAATTAAAAATGTCAACGTCAGCGCCGGCGTGCAACGTAAGACGGCTAACGTCATCGTCGGCAATGTTCTGTCAAAATTGGCCAGACTGATTTAATTGGCAAAACGTGAAAATGTTTAATACTGAATTGGCAAAATCGAAAGGTATATGATTGAATTGGCAAAAGTGCAATAGGTTTAGGACTTTTTGGATAATTTTCCTTGAGATCAGCAATAGCATCTTACCACATGAATTTGAGATTTACCTATTTCAAACGAGCTTCTTATCATAAATGGAAAACGCAGAGGGGGAAAAATCATTACTGAAAATCAGAATATGCTACACGGGCAGGGACATAAAAATCAATTTACATTTCATTAAACTTAACGCGCTCGTTCCATTCTAGTCCATTGCTCAAAGAAATTCTTGCAATATATATATATATTAAAAAAAAGCCCGACAATGATACTGGATCGGGTCAGGTCGGGTCGGAATTTTTTTGGACCCGGTGGCTTTGACCCAGAGCCCAGACCAGAGCGAACGTCGAACCCCGTCCCCCGAAATCGCGGAGTGATTGCTTCGCCTTCGCAATCACGTCGACAATTTCTTTTGTCCATACGCAGGCATGTAATTGCGACCATTTTACTATAATTTTCTTGTCAATTGCAGTATCTTTACTCTACCCCAATTTTGTAATCGAAGAAAGATAAAGAAAAGGAAACAAAATTCGAGAATATAGGGAGGGAGGGAGGGAGGCAGGGAGGAATGGAATCATTGGATGCTCCGAGTCAGGGTCGCGTACTATCGAGGGGCACGCAATACGACGACACCCACGTCGGCACGAGCCACACGTTCGACTAAAAAATCTGTTCTTGAATTTTGCCTAGACCTCCCCCCGCGATCTAACGTTATGGCCCCGAAAAAGTTTTCATCTTTCTTCTCTTTCTTGTTTGGTCTTGGTTTTCGGGTCGATGGATCTGCTTACTGGGGGAGTTTCGTTTTTTGCGTCTTTCCTTTTTTTCCCTATCCTTGAATATTTTCGCTTGGAATCCCCAACTTCAAGATTTGGAGACAAACTTGACATGTTAGGCTGGTCGTTCTTTGCAGTTTCTTGCGTTTTTTACTGTCTTCCGGAGGCCAGGTTTCGAATTCAGTTTCGTTTTCTTTTCTTGTTCTTCCCAAAATTTTCCTAGGGGACAAATCTCTCTCTCAGAAGAAGGAGGAGGAGGAGAAAATGCTCGAGAGCTACTTCTCTTTCTTGCCATATTAATACCCGAATCAGACAAGCATGAAATACCCATAATTCAACTCGGCATCTTTAATGCTTTGTCTGGTCGTAGTTGTTTGTGAGACCCACCACTCGAGAAGAAGAAGAAGAAGCAGCAAGCACATACACGCGTACACCCATCTCTCTCTCTCTGAAGCCCACTTTTTAGGCCTGTTTTTGCACCTTGTCGTTTCGCGGCTCCTATGAACCTTCTTCATCTCTATCCCCCGAAATGCCCAAGGATAAATCATCAGGGTGCTCAGAAATGGTGACCCACTTGAGCGTATTGAACAAATTTAAGCGCTTGAAGAACCCTCTTGAGCCTTCTTCAGGAATAGTTGGGTTCCTGTTTGTCGCTGCCCTCTTCATTGGCTCTTGCTTCTACTTGGACTACAGGGCAGTAACTCAGAGGCTACGAAACACTGGGCAGTCCTGGCTCCACGGAGGCCGGGTGCCGCCGAATGAGGCGGCGGCGGCCGGGCGGCCCGGGTTTCTCGACGAGGGCGGCGGCAGGTGCGACGCGTTTGATGGGAATTGGGTGTGGGATGAGAGGTATCCTCTGTATGAGAGTAGAGATTGTGCCTTGATTGATGAAGGTTTCAGGTGTACTGAGAACGGGAGGCCTGATAGTTTCTACACCAAGTGGAGATGGCAACCCAGGATGTGTGACTTGCCCAGGTTTCTTCACTCGCATCTTTTGATGTTGTCGTTGTTTCTAATTTTGAATAAATTGAATAAATTTGTAATATTTGATTTGCCAATTTATTGCTTTTAATTGTTCGTCTTAATTGTTGGAGGAGTTTGTATTATGATTAGCTGTTTCTGAAATATATCTGTCTCATGCTGTGTGTTGCTTGTTGAAGGGTGATTGCATTTATTGTTCATGTATTGGTTTTCTTGATTGGTGCTTTTGTCTCCATTTGGGGTTGTTGGGAATTTTATAAGGTAAGGCAGGTTTTGAATGCTCACCGTCCAGTCATTCGATAGGTTTTGAACTTGTGAGTGTGGATTTTCTCGTGAAGTGGTACAAAATTGATGAAATTTCTGTTCATGCTTTGTTGTTTCTATCTTCATAGGAATTCTAGCTCGGTGATTTACCCTCGGGCAATGATGTTTCAAACTTGACTTTTTTTCACTGTTGTATTGACATTTATTCAATCCTAATTTGGAAGAAGAGAAATGATTCAATTCCCTTTTTTCAAATAGTTCGTCCATATGGGATGGTTACTTAGCATTGATTTAGAGGAAAGACTGTGAGCTAAATTTAATTGAGGAGCGAATGATGGGAAAAAGGATAAACTTTCTTCCGAATAACGTATATGGTGTTGTAAAGGGAAGGCTTCATGCTAGAGCTTGAGGAAATGAAGATCGATGTTCAACTTGTTTGATGAATAGGGGGGACTTTTAGGTGAAGGGATGGGTTCAATATAGAATGCTAACACTTACCACATGCATGGTTGAAGGGTTTGTCCTAAGATTTTTGTTTTTTTCGGTCTGAAGTTTGTTTGTCCTAAGATTGAAACGTGAAATTGATCATATTGAGGGTTCTGGGGAGATTTGAGCATAAGACTTCTGTTTTGATACTATGCAGAGTTATAGAAGACCATCAGACATAAGTAGTTTAAGAGTGAATACTATGCTTAAGTTCCGTCTTACATAAAGAATAAAGATTATAAGTTGAATTGCTGCTGCACAGGTCCAGTGCATATAGAGTCTTGTTTGTAATCAAATTTATTGTTTTTGGACAAATTACACATAATCCAGTTTACATGTTGAAACATGATGAAGGTGTCTCCAGCGTGTGGTAAGGTATGTCATTGCCGTGCTCCGTTTGTTCTTTTTTCCACTTTCTTTTGGATGACCTAGTGGATGTAATTATGGTTTTTATCCAATAGCCAACTTTATCTTCGTGCCCTATCAGGCATCTGGTAGGAGATTCTCTTTTGCCCTTGAATTTTCTTGATCTGTCTGTCAACTGCAGAGCCTGTAACAGATCTACTCTACTTATGCCGCATAATTCCAATTCAACCCATGATATGGAAGAGTGCTCGATTAGTTGTACCAATTGGAAAATCGAGACTGACTGAAGGCCATTAAATGAACTTTAGGCAGTAAGGGGTCAATCTAAGTTTTATGATGATTGAACTTGTAATTCATTTGGTGATATGATATCATCTTTCATTAAATTCTGTACGTTCAGAATTACCTTGGAATAATTCTTTTTCCTTGTTCTAATTAGATGGCAATGGATCAAATATTTAATTGGTATTTTGTTTGGCAATATCGTCTGAGGTTAATTTTACATGATCAGAATCGTCTTTGATTAGTTCTTTTACCTTCTTTTAATTGGGTGGTGATGAATACATCCAATATCAGAGCATTTCTTACATGTATCTTGTCGTTAATTTCCCACTAGAAAACAAATATACCAACATTTCTCTCTGTCTAATTGAGTACAGATTTGATGCAAAGATGATGCTGGAAAGGTTGCACAACAAAAGGGTCGTGTTTGTCGGCGACTCAATTGGTCGGAACCAATGGGAATCCCTCCTCTGCATGCTCTCGTCTGCTCTTTCAGATAAGGGCGCAGTCTATGAAGTGAATGGTAGACCGATCACCAAGCACAATGGGTTCTTGGTGTACAAGTTCAGAGACTTCAACTGCACAGTTGAATATTACAGATCTCCATTTCTAGTGGTCCAGGGCCGAGCTCCAGTTGGATCTCCAGAAGACGTGAAGGTTACCCTGAAGTTGGATCAGATTGACTGGACTTCTAGCCAGTGGTCAGATGCTGATTTGCTGGTTCTCAATACCGGGCATTGGTGGAATTATGAGAAGACTGTACGCGGGTAAGTATGTTCTTTCATCCCGTTGTAAGCTCATATTTTGTCCCGTCAAGTGGTTGACCCCTAAAAATATAGGGACTTTGTTCCAAGCACTACTCTTGGAATTGCAAACTGCAAAATGACCCTTCACTTGCTACTTTAGGCAGGTTCATCATGTGGCTAAATGATACATTGGTCTAGATTGCACACTGACAAGTTTCCCTTTAATCTCTCCCCCTGCACCACCTTTACAAGTGTGGCCTTCAATTCAAACGGGAAGTCATTGCTGTGGCTGCATTATATATTAGGTCGTTTGGCCATGTTTTTGTTAAATAGATGGTGTGTGAATGTACTAATTCCCTCCCAATCTGGATTGTCGGTTATGAGTGCGATATAGGAAGCTAAAGAGCTTTTCATAGATAATGTTCCTATGCTTGCCGGATGTTTCTCCTGTTTCCTTAACAGACCATGTTTTCTTGGTTCTTTTACAATCAGTCGTAAGACTCATAGTCCAGCCATTGACTAAGGAAGCCCCTCTCTCCCTGATATACAAACTTCCGATTGCTCTGGTCACCTTCGTTGGATGCAACCTCGGGCCTTTAGCCTTACTTTTGCCCTATGTTTCTTTGAGAAAAGGTTTCATTTTCCACAATGAATGTTATTAACTTAGATCTGATCTCTCTGAATGTCTGTGGCAGGGGCTCTTACTTCCAGGTTGGAAATGAGGTTAAGATGAATATGACTGTTGAAGATGCTTATCGGAGATCGCTAGAGACGGTACTTGACTGGATCAGTGCTCATGTGAATATGAGCGAGAGTCAGGTCTACTTTCGATCTTTTGCACCTGTACATTTTAGGTAAGTTAATTTCTATTAACCTCAGTGATTTCACTCATTATCTTCACATCAGAAGAGCGTTATTTTCTTATATGTTGACATTGAATATTTATTTCTCTCTTTCTGTTGCTTAGAAGCAGCATCTAAACTGATGACCACTTGACCACTGGTACAAGATTCTTTGACAAAAAGTTCAACTAAATATTGTTCTACCATATTTTTTCTTGAGAGACGAAGCAACCTGTTTTTCTCTTGTTGACTATTTTTATCCTTTCAAATTTAGTACAAGCAATTTGTTCCTAACCCATGGCATTTATTCCCATTAGGCTAGATGGAAACGAGGTTGTGTGGTTCCATGTTAGTACTATGGCAGTTTCTTTTCTCTCGGATGTGACTTATGTCTTTTGGATCGTGGCTTATCTGCAGCTTTCCTCCCTATGTTCGAAGTAGCACAGCTGATTCTCTATAATTAGAAGCATTTTCTTTTCTTAAAACTTTGTCAAATATTCGAGACTGGTGGTTGAATTGTGTTATCATGCCCCTTGGATACAGCATTGCTGTAAAGAGTGCTTGAGATTCAAGCACTTGGTTTGGAAGATAAGGGAGATAATTTTGACACTCTTGAGCGTATCGAACTTCACTTTATAGTCAGTTATATGATGCTGCTTATCTGTTATTAGTATTACCGCTTTATTATTATTCAAAGTAACCGCGGCATGTATGTTCTTAACAGAGGTGGAGACTGGAAGTCCGGGGGAACATGTCACTTGGAGACTCTACCTGACTTGGGCTCCTCCCCAGTTTCGTCGGTCCATTTGAAAATTCTTACCAATCTGTTAACTGATCGGTCCAACCAAACAGTAAACAATAACCTTGACGTGCTGAATATCACAGCTATGACCGCGCACAGAAAAGATGGCCATTCCTCTCTATATTACCTGGGGCCTGAGTTGGGTCCTGCTTCGCTCCACAGGCAGGATTGTAGCCATTGGTGCTTGCCCGGCGTTCCGGATGTGTGGAATGAGCTTCTTTATGCCTTTTTCCTCAAGCATGACTCTGTGCGGTCGCGGGATTTGACAAATGCCTCGTAAGTTTCGTGCTGAACGAGTATAATGCGGTGGTGTTTATACCAACATGAAGAGCTTTACGCCGTAGGAGTCGCGCGACAGCAAATTGATCACATAGCTTTTAGTTCACTCTTTATCCTCGATTACCCGCACGTCCCAGAATTTTGGGAAGTCGATGAGAAGCCACACAACTGGACAGGATTCAACCACAGGTGGAAAGTTTTTACCATTCTTGTTTTCACTTTCATCTTTTACTTTCTTTTTTTGGGGTTTGGATATGATTACATAGATGTCAAAAAGCAGGACAGGGGCTACAAAGAAAGTAGATACACACGTTTTCATTGTACATGCCATAAATATACACGATTGAAATAAAATGATGAAAGGAGTGTTTTCGTTAGAGCTTTTGGGATATCAACTACACTCAAGATGAGAACATTATCCCTAACTTCTTACGGTATTCATTTGAGTGTCATAACTTTTTCTTTCCTAATCGCTTGTGTGCTATATTGATGAAAAATAGTTTACTTGAGTGCCTATTCAAGCGATTCGTGTTACGTGGCTTTTTAAAATAAATTTTGAGTCAGATGTGGTGTTTTTAATAGAAATTCATGTCTAAAGTGGAAAATGGAACAAATTTCAAGTCCAAAATTTTGAGTTCGACGTGCCATACCTTCTCTTCTGCTTCTTCTTATATTCATCTTCATCTTCTTGGCCGGAGACTTGGAATGAAGAGGAAACCAAAACACATAGCTCTCTCTCCCTCGATTCGCGCTGACGGCTGAATGGCCGTGGTGATGTCAGAGCGAGTCGGCTTGCCAACCTCTACACCTCTTACGATTAGTCCAGGGCAATCCGAGTCCTCGACTCCTCGCTTGGCTTTGTTGTGTGCAATCCGAGACATTCGGCGAAAAACTCATTTTTCGTTTTGCCTTGACAAAAGAGAGAAGCACCGAGGCCACGCTCCTCTGTTCGATCATTTGAAGGTGTGTATTACCTTTTATGTAAGACTTCTCGTGGCCTCTCCAATCCGATGTAGGACTTTGAAATCCATTGTGACTTTGCGATTCTCAAGAGGTTGTAGTAGAATAGAAGTAACGGATCTGGCTTGTCCTGCGTAAGTTACTTTGCTTCATGATTCCGTAAGCACAACCGCTCAAAAACAATTTCCAAGCCGTATATATAATTACAAAAGATACTCTTAACACAAGATCTTGAATGTTGGAAAAGCTAAGGAAGTGCCTCCTCCTTAGTGATGAATGATGAGGATATTTTGATAAAGCAACACAAATCATATCAATAAGACGAAACATTAAGAAGAATCCCTACTCAGTTCCAATCTTCAATTAGTAAAGTCTCTTTCGAAAGCAACATTCATAAATAGAGATCCGAAGAGAAGGTAGGGAGTTCTATATGGCTTAATCTTTCGCAAGAATTGCTTTGATTGTTACTGTGATTTTCTGTACTTGCAACGTTGCGAGAAGCGTTCCAAGCACGAATTTGGTTGAGAAAATGTGCAATGGGCAAACACATCTGGGCCGTTGGATTCTTCCCATGACAATCACTACGATGTCCTATATGACTTGACGGACAAGACGGCGGCTTCGGGTTTCGCCTATTACAGTCGATCCACCGCCGGGCGGGGGGTCCATATTACAGTCACGCGGCGTGCAACGGAGGCCTCGCGAACCCCAGATTGCAGTGCTCTCTTGAAAGAGGCTTTTGACTATACCGTGAAGCTATGTGAAATGGAGTATGGGGTCCGGTTTCAACTTAAGCATCGCCGGATCCAAAACGATACGAGGATTATCCATTCCCGGAATAAACGCACGGCTTTTCGATGTCGGATCTGATTTCAAAGTGTGTCCGTGTACGTGCATGTGCTGCCACCATGAATAATGTGAGTTTGAGTTGCAGACGAGACATGCTCATGTTTCTCTTGATGCCCGTAGCAACTCAGTCATGTTCCTCTATTAAATATGTTGTAATTTATGCTGTTAATCTTCTCAAGACAAATTATAAATGAACCTAGGAATGCACTGTGAAAACTAAAACGTGATAGCTTACCAATTGATTGGAGAAGGCCTAACCTCCTTAAGTCAGCTCAATTGATTGGATATACCATGTGATGAATCAACCTTTATCAACCTTCAGCCCTCGCCGGTGGCCGGAGTTGGAAAAAAAGAAAATAAAAAAAAATCTAAAAAATTATCCACGTCAATACCGGCTGTGCCACGTAATTTAGGACTGAATTGGTCAAATTGAAATATTTAGGATTGAATTGGCACGAGCGCAATATGTTTAAGACTTTTTTTGGTAATTTCCTCCTGCATCGAAGCGCCTTTGGACGAAAGACTTCAACATCGAGTATCCGGAGGCGGTCTTTAACAATGCACACATTTGTATTCGCGAAAAGCATTCCCGATGCGAACTCGGCGCACCCACAAAGAATCTCTACGATGCTCGTGAGAAGCATTCCAGATGAGAATTCGGTGCGCCCACAAAGAATCCCTTTGACGCTCTTCCTGAATTGGAGGACAAGACAAGACAACAGATTAAGGTTCGATTCTGATGTTTTCGATGACTTGATCCAAATGGATTTTCTCGAGCTCAACTTCAACTTAGAAGAATGCACCTCCTTGAAGTATTAAAATTTACAACATAACCTAAGATAATGCGATTTCTGCTGACATGTTCCCCATTTTCCGAGTACCAACTGTATCTAGAATCCCTGTACCCGCGAAACTCTGTATATTTAAATACACACTAGTTTTTATATACTTTGATTATTGAAAAAAGCACAAAAAAAGTCATAAACATATTGCATTGGTATTGATTCAGTTCTAAACCTCTTGAATAGTTTGTGACTAAATTGATAAATCGTCAAAAGGTTAAGGACTCAATTGGCCAAATTGAAAGGTTTACGACTGAATTGGCACGAGTGCAACACGTTCATGACTTTTTTTTGGTAATTTCCCCCGCACTAGAGCGTCTTTGGACGAAGGCTTCAGTATCGACTCTCCGGAAGCATTCTTTAACGACGTATACGTTTGTAATGTCGTGGAAAGCATTCCAGATGCGAACTCGGTGCGCCCACGAAAAAGAGAATCTCTTTCATGCTCGCGAAAAGCATTCCAAATGCGAACTCGGTGTGCCGGCAAGGAATCCGTTGGATGCTCCGCCTGATTTGGAGGACAAGACAAGACAAGACAAGACAACAGAATAAGGTTCGACCATCACACGGTCAGTACTCCACTCGCCCGTCGATTCGTGATGCTCGTGGCTGACCTTATGCAAACTGGATTTGTTCGAGCTCAACTTCGCATGAGAAGATTGCACCTCCACGAAGTATCAAAGTTTACGAGATAACCTGTTCTCCGAGTGCCAACGGTATCTTCTCGACTTAGAATCCGCGTACCCGCGAAACTATGCACATTTAAATACATAGTGGTTATCATATACTTGATTATGCCAAGTAGGTTTGCTCTCGATGAGAGCTGTGTGACCGGACCGGACTGGACCGTCTTGAATACTGGTTTAGTTTCCAGGTTCCTGATTCCAAATTGTTGGAACCGGTTTGGTTCTTGGTTTTCGGTTCCGAGTGAAAAACCATATGGAAACCGAACCGAATGTGGAACCGGTTTCATAAAGCCTAAAAACTCTATTTTTTCTTTTAGCATCCTTTTCTCTATCTCTCTATATTTCTCTGTTTTCTCCAACCTCACTTTTCCGCTCTCTCTCTCATCCTCGATCGCTCGCGGCTCACCCTCGTCCTCGATCGCTCGCGGCTCGTCCTCGTTCATTCGAGCCTCGAAACCCTCGCTCGTTCATGGCTCACCTTTGCTTACTCGCTCTCGTTCATCTTTTACTTTAAAACGTTTTATTGCTCATATTATTTTTTTTTTATAAAAAATGAAATAAAAAAAAAGGAACAAAAGAAAAACAGTTTCTTTAATAGACCTTAGAACCGGATCCAATTCTAATTGGGTAGGTTCCAGGCCTCAAACCTACCCACCATGAATCCAACACACCTACTCTTTACTAGGGGTGTGCAAAATGGACCACCCGGACCGGACCGGAACGGCCGATTTGGTCTGGTTCCCGTGAGTGTCAGTCCGGTTCCCGGTTCCTAAAAGTGGAATCGATGTCCGGGCGGTCCGGTTTCCAACTCCAAGGGAGAACCGGGCCTACTATATATACTTTTTTATTTTTTATTTCTTCAAAAAAATTGGTAAAATGTGAACTAAAATCCACATACAACGCTTTCCCCTTATCATTGCATCACAATGAATCTTCACTTATCGTCGTTTCCGTCAATATGTTAAGATTTGTCACTTTCTCTTGTTGTGGTGAGACAAAATAAAAAAGTGACTGGTTCTATTGGATCGGACGGGACCACCAGTCCGGTCCGGTCCCCGGTTTCCAAAATTGGGAACCAATCACCCTTACTCTTAACGTCTCTTTTCCTTGCGGGAAGATTAGCATCAACCACGAGTTTGATAGAGCGCATCTTTTTGAATTCGCAAAAAAAAAAGAAAATCAATTCTACGCCAGAGATTTGTTTACAAATAAATTCAAGTGAAAAAGCAAAAAAGAATTGCTATAGATTTTATCGAAATAACAGTTAAGGTGCATTTTAAAATCTGTAATTCATGACTTGAATTGCCACTAAGGTAGCGCATGATAATCATTCTGGTTCTGTCCATAATTGGTTTTTGGTTCCCAGAAATAGCTTTGGACCAGAAACACGTTTGGTAACGCAATTCCATTTTTCTATTTCTGGAACAACCTTTTGTTCCAGAATCGATTCTGAACCAGAAATCAGAACAAAAAAAAAAAAGTAGGTTTTCTATTTCTAGACCAAAAATGAGAATAATTTCTGAGAGAACTCTTTCTTCAAAACACATGTTCATTTGGAAGTCATGATCTTTGAGGTGGAAAAAAAAATCAAAAAATCAAAAATTTCAAAACGTCACAGAATGGTTTAAAATCTGTGGCTACCAACTTTGAGCGAAATTTAAATTTTTTAGGTGCAGAAAAAAAAATAAAAAAATAAAAAAAATAAAAAAATTCAAAATTTCACAAAATGGCTTAGAATACCTATGGCCACCAACTTTAAGCGAAATTTAATTTTTTTTAGATGCCAAAAAAAATAAAAATAAGCAAAAAAGCAAAAATTTTAAAACTTCACAGAATGGCTTAAAATACCTGTGGCCACCCACTTTGAGCGAAATTTTATTTTTTTTAGGTGCCTAAAAAAATAAAAAAAAAACAAAAAGCAAAAATTTTAAAACTTCACAGAATGGCTTAGAATACCTGTGGCCATCCATCCACTTTGAGCGAAATTTAAATTTTTTAGGTGCCGAAAATAATAAAAAAATAAAAAATAAAAAATTTCAAAACTTCACAGAATGGCTTAGATTACCCGTGGCCACCCACTTTGAGCGAATTTTTTTTTTTAGATGCCAAAAAAAATAAAAATAAGCAAAATAGCAAAAATTTCAAAACTTCACAGAATGGCTTAAAATACTTGTGGCCACCCACTTTGAGCGAAATTTTATTTTTTTTAGGTGCCTAACAAAAAATAAAAAAGCAAAAAAGCACAAATTTTAAAACTTCAGAATGAATTAGAATACCTATATCCATCCACTTTGAAATAAATTTAAATTTTTTAGGTGCGAAAAAATAAAAAAAAATAAAAAATTTCAAAACTTCAAGATTCTTAGAATCACGTGCCACCCACTTTGAATGAAATTTAATTTTTTTAGGTGCCGAAAAAAAATAAAAATAAGAAAAAAGCAAAAATTTCAAAACTTCACGAATGGCTTAGAATACTTGTGCCACCAACTTTGAATGAAATTTTATTTTTTTAGGTGCTCGAAAAAAAAAAAAAGCAAAAAATAAAAATTTCAAAACTTCACGAAATGGCTTAGAATACATGTGCCATCCACTTTGAGTGAAATTTAATTTTCTTTAGGTGCCGAAAAAAATTTAAAAATCAAAAAATTAAAAAATACCATTTAGGCACCTAAAAAAATTAAATTTCACCCAAAGTGGGTGGCTAGAGGCATTCTAAGTCATTCTCATGATTTTAAATTTTTTTATTTTTTTATGTTTTTATTTTTTTCGGACCTAAAAAATTTAAATTTCACTCAAAGTGGACGGCCACGTATATTCTAAGTCATTCTATGAAGTTTTGAAATTTTTATTTTTGCTTTTTTTTCACCTCAAAAAATAAAATTTCACTCAAAGTGGTGGCCACGTATTCTAAGCTATTCTGTGAAGTTTTGAAATTTTTGAGTTTTTGAATTTTTTGGCACCTTAAAAAGTTTAAATTTCACTCAAAGTGGGTGTACATGTATTCTAAACTATTCTCAAGTTTTGAAATTTTTAATTTTTTGATTTTTTTGCACCTAAAAAATATTTAAATTTCACTAAATGTGGGTGGCCACAGGTATTTTAAGTTATTCTATGAAGTTTTGAAATTTTTAATTTTTTGATATTTTTGAAAAAATTCAACAAATTTCCTATTTTCCCGAAATCTGAATTTTTTATTTTTTGGAAATTGTGATGAATTTTTCTAGAATTTTTCAATTTTTTTGGATTTTTTGAATTTTTTTGAGATTTTTAGGAATTTTTTTGATTTTCTAATTATTTTTATTCCATTTAAAAAAAATGGATTTTTGTTCCTGGAAATAGAATTTTGTGTTGTTTATCAAACGGGTTTTTATTTCGTGAAATAGAAATTTTGTCTTTGTTATCAAATGGGTTTTGCTCCGGAAAAGAAATTTTTGGTCATTATCAAACGGGTTTACTTCTCGTAACTCATCTCGGAACCGAAAATAAAAAAATCTATTTCTATTTCGTAACTCATTCCTAACTAAATGGTTATCATTCGCTATCTAAATCTCCAATTTTTTTTTCCTCCTTCCCGAAGAATTCGATTAAAGGGCTCTTTTGGCACGATCTCCTACTCGATTTGGCGATTTGGAAATTTGCAAGGCTTTTAGGGACTTCGGTTGCAATCGAACTTCAATGAAATATTTTGTGTTCATAAACTCATCCGTTACGATCTAATGGTGTTCGTTGTTGAATGGAAATTTTTTTCTTTTTGACAAATTTTTTTTTTCAAAAATCAGTTTCGGCCGAAAAGAAAAAAAATTGGAGGGACATAATGAAAATAAAATAAATTGTTAATACCACAAAAAACTTTAAACTTGACTATCAAAAATCCTAAACTGATACACTTGTGACAAATTTATCCTTCGTTAAATTAAGATTAATATCACGAAAATCAATAAATCGCCAAACTTATGAAACCCTAAATTGGTACATTTTGAAGATAAAATTTGACGGTAACTAGTGGAGGGTAAATTTATCACATGTGTACCAATTTGAGGTTTTTGGTGATAAAATTTTTTTTTTTTGGATAAATTTATTATAAGTGTATCGATTTGGAGATTTTGGTGGTATTAATCCAAACAAAATAAAAGTTTTGGGGGGTGAAAACGACAAACCAATGGACCGTCAAATCTGTAGCGTCCACTCACGCACGTCCAGTCTTCTGCAGCCGTCGGATCGGGTTTAAGAGGGTTTTCTCGCATTCTTCACGCAGCATCTCCTCCTCTGAAAGCCTTTCTATTCGCAGCCGTTCGCCGAGGCAAATATCTCATCGGCCTCCCATCTCCATTTCGCAGCGCCGACCGTCCTTTCTCCGCTCCGCCGCTCCGCCGCTCCGCCGCTCCGCCGCTCCGCCGCTCCGCCGCTCCGCCGCTCCGCCGCCGCTTACCGGGGACCGCGCGGCAGCCGAGCGGGCGAGCTCGCCCGGTAGGTCCCTCCCCCCGTTTTGCGCTCCCTTTCGGTTTTGGCCTCCTCGGAGCTGTTCGCACGAGATTGACGAGCTCCGGCGCCGTTTTCGGGTGCAGGGGGAAGAAGCAGCGGCCGGTCGGAATCTTCAACGTCGTCCGGAAAGCTGTGAGGCCGGTGCCGTGAGGTGCGGCGGAGTTGTCACCGCAGAGGGTCGTCAGGTAAAAATTTGAATTGCTATTCCTCTGCGAAATCTGCCATTCGAGCTTATTGCCGTTAGAAACTGAATGTTAGGAGGCGAGCTGAAGAATTGCTAATGCCGTTCGATTTGCGGTTCAGATTGAGATGAGCTGCTTCTGTTCGTTCTGGTCGAAAACGGGTTTGATTGAAACGGAGCCGTTCGATTCGAGATCGAATGAGGCTATAGTTGGCGGCTTAAGAACGTTCGCATGTATTTGTAGCTTATCGCTGCGAAAGATGTTCATTTGTTGATGAAAATTTGGAAATGGTTTGTGTTCTTGGGCTTTTTGCAGCTGCTGTTATGTCGAAAAATTTAAGAACGTTCGCATGTATTTGTAGCTTATCGCTGCGAAAGATGTTCATTTGTCGATGAAAATTTGGAAATGGTTTGTGTTCTTGGGCTTTTTGCAGCTGCTGTTATGTCGAAAAATTTAAGAACGTTCGCATGTATTTGTAGCTTATCGCTGCGAAAGATGTTCATTTGTCGATGAAAATTTGGAAATGGTTTGTGTTCTTGGGCTTTTTGCAGCTGCTGTTATGTCGAAAATTTGAATTTTGTTGTGAATTAAATGAGTCACTTTCGCAAATTCCCATACTTTTTATAGTTTTTATCACAGGTTTGGTTAAGTCTTATACTGGGATCACCTTGCTCTGTGGAGGCAGCATTTTGTCGTCATTCATACTGTCCCTGCAGTTCAATAAGCGGTTCAGTTTTCAGATCATTGGTTTTTTTTTTTTTTTTTCTGCTGTGATCAAGTTTAGTTTTTTCTGCTTTTAAATCCTTGAGCCAGCTGGAAGAAGCACGGCATTTTCATAACCAAACGAGTGTTATGTCTAACTGTTTAAACCTTTTTGGGTAAAATATTTGCACACGATGCATGGATATTTTGTTGTGTAGTTACTTCATACCCAACACGTTTTTTTTGGCGTAGCGCACAATGTTTCACCGTGTTATTGGCATAATTTGTTTTCCTCTTGGCACTTGTGGGAATTGTTCATTCCTACTGTGGTAGAGCTTGATATACTGGCTATTTGGTACTGGTCAAAACAGTCAACTGATTGGCAATATAATCTTTCTCAGATGTAAAGTATTCAATCTTTACACTTCTCGTCGCACCTCTGAGTTAAAGCTCTAATTTTTCTCTTGCGTCAATGCCTCCCAGCTGTAGCTAGTCTAAGCAACTCATTGAGATGCTGCAAGATGCATCCGTAGAGTTTAGTTTTTTTTTTCAAGTTGTTGTCAAGTCTTCATATGAGGCTTGAGTAATTAATTATAGTGATTACTAAATTGTTTGTTCATTCTCAAACACATTTCCACTTTAGAGCATATCTTATTTTCTTCCTCAAGTACGGTAAATCTCTCTTTCAATTATTGATAATCTGCATTCCGTAGCTTCAAGCCTCTCTCTTCACTCAAGATCGAGGTTGATAGTGATGATGAGTTGATTTTGTGTTTTGGCAATTGTTTTTTGTTTATTCTATATTAGTCATATAAGATGTTTTTCCTCCCTTCATTTTTGATATTCTAGGAGAAGATGGTAGAGTGGGTTTGGTAATTACATGCATTATAGAAGGAGCCCTATCGTTTTGTCTCCCCGTATTTCTTTTCGGTGAGTTGTTTCATGTTCTTTTCTTTTCTTTTTCTTATTTTCTTTTGCATCTGATTGTTTGGTTTTGGATGATGATACATTTACTCTTAATGAATCCTCATATTATGGTATGAGATGTAATCTTGACTGCTTTTACCACGCAGAAATGCTTTCTGGTTGGGTAAGATGAAAAATGGAATTTGCTGAATAACAGCTCTACATAATATGAAACGCCATGTAAAAGTCATCAAAGCCCATCACACGTAGCTGTGGTCTGCCTTCCACATGTATCCATCTTTAAAGGAAACAAAATCGGAGCGCCACTAAAAGATAAATGAGCATCAAACTGAAGATGCCTTAACAAAAGATGATTAAGCTGTTATGAAGACCTATAAAGGTTGTCTTTCCTTCCCAAATATCTACTCATCATCTTCCTTCCCTCACAACTTTCCTCGTATTTCTCTTTTTTCACCTAAGAGATAGACTTTCTGGACTCACCATCTTCTATTGTATCTTCAGTTGTCTATTGTTGTAAGCTAATATTGAGGAATTGAGTAATGATGATAATGTGTGTGGTGTTTGCTTAAAGGATATAAATCTCTAAATGTATTTCCAAGTTGATAGATCTTATCCGGTATAAAATAGGTTGACAGGAAAGCACAAAGCTCGCTGGCAATTTTTTTTTATGTTGTGTATTTTGAAAATCACTCTTATGGTTATTAATGCCATATTAACCATGTCGCTTTTCGATTTTGTTTGTCCAGTCTAGGTAAAATTTTTTCTTTTTATATATTGTATGTTTTGAAAATCACTCTGATGGTTGCTGATGACAAGTTGTTTGTGTGACATTTTCTCTTTTGTTTGTCCGTTCTGTAGTGGATCTCTCTCTCTCTCTCTCTCTCTCTCTCCATAGAAACAAATATAGTCGCATCTTCACTGGATGACCATGTACTAGCCACTGTTTTTTTCAATGATGATTCTCTCTCTTTCTGCTTTTCAAGTTTACGTGTTTTGTTTGTTTCTACATTATGCGTGATTCTTGTGGACTACCAGGCTACCTTGTGTTTGCCATTGGAAGTTTCATTTTAGAACCTGAAGTACTTAATCTATTTGCCGATGTAAACTCTATAGGTTCTCTCGTTTTATTGGGATGACGACTGAGGGAGGGAAAAGCTTTGCAAGAAGGGATCGTCTGTTGGAGATTGAGGCTACAGTGCGAACCTGGTGGACAGAAAAAGACATTTTCAGTGCTGAATCTTGTGAAAAAATTCCTGAACAGGGTGAAAAGTTTTTTGGCAATTTTCCATTTCCCTATATGAATGGGTTTTTGCATCTTGGACATGCATTTTCGCTTTCGAAGCTTGAATTTGCCGCAGCCTATCACAGACTAAGAGGGGCAAATGTGCTTTTGCCATTTGCTTTTCATTGCACTGGTATGCCCATCAAGGCAGCGGCTGACAAACTGACCAGGGAGATCCAACAGTTCGGTGATCCTCCAGCATTTCCAAGTGAAGCAGAGAATCAGGTCAACCAAGAATTGGAAACAGAGGAGCAAAATGCATCTGAACCAGCCATGAAAGACAAGTTCAAAGGGAAGAAATCTAAAGCTGCATCAAAATCAGGTGGGCAGATGTATCAGTGGGAGATTATGCGTAGTCTTGGCCTCTCGGATAGTGAAATATCAAAATTTCAGGATCCTTACAACTGGTTGAGTTTCTTTCCTCCATTAGCTATGGATGATCTCAAGGCTTTTGGGTTGGGTTGTGATTGGAGACGTTCCTTCATCACCACAGATATGAACCCATTTTTTGACTCCTTTGTAAGGTGGCAAATGAGGAAGTTGAAAGCTATGGGTAAGATTGTGAAAGATCTGCGGTACACAATTTACTCTCCTCTAGATGGCCAACCATGTGCAGATCATGACCGGGCAACTGGTGAAGGAGTTCAGCCTCAGGACTACACTCTAATAAAGATGGAGGTAGTTCCACCATTTCCACCAAAAATGGGAGTTTTAGAAGGGAAAAGAGTGTTCTTGGCTGCTGCAACTTTGAGACCGGAGACCATGTATGGGCAAACAAATGCATGGGTATTGCCCGATGGCAAATATGGAGCTTTTGAAATCAATGATACCGATGTGTTCATTGTTGCACACAGGGCAGCCCTCAACCTGGCCTACCAGAGATTTTCCAAGATTCCAGAGAAGCCTACTTGCTTGGTGGAGCTGACGGGTTATGATCTTATTGGTCTTCCCTTGAAGTCACCACTTTCATTTAATGAGATTATCCATGCTCTACCCATGCTGACTATCCTTATGGACAAAGGAACTGGGATCGTGACTAGTGTACCCAGTGATGCTCCCGACGACTACATGGCGTTGCATGATTTGAAAGCAAAGCGAGGTCTCAGGGAAAAGTTTGGCGTGAAGGATGACTGGGTATTGCCCTTTGAGATTGTGCCAATCATTAATATTCCAGAATATGGAGATAAGGCTGCGGAAAAAGTCTGCAAAGATATGAAAATTAAGAGTCAGAATGAAAAAGATAAGCTTGCAGAAGCAAAGCAGAAGACGTACTTGAAAGGATTTACCGAAGGAACTATGCTCGTGGGGGAATATGCAGGAATGAAAGTGCAAGAAGCAAAGCCATTGATCAGAAGCATGCTTATAGAGACTGGACAGGCTATTATGTACAGTGAACCCGAAAAAAGGGTTATGTCAAGGTCAGGTGATGAATGTGTTGTTGCTCTTACAGATCAGTGGTACATCACTTATGGGGAATCTGAATGGAAGAAGTTGGCTGAGGAATGCCTAACTAACATGAATCTGTATTCCGATGAGACGCGACACGGCTTTGAGCATACTTTGGGCTGGCTTAACCAGTGGGCTTGCTCACGATCTTTTGGCCTTGGCACTCGCATCCCTTGGGACGAGCAATTCCTTGTGGAGTCATTATCCGACTCTACTATTTACATGGCTTACTACACAATAGCCCACCTCTTACATAAAAATGATATGTATGGTTCTAGCACTTCAATGAAACCTGAACAAATGACCGATGAGGTGTGGGATTTTGTTTTCTGTGGTGGTCCCCAACCTCAATCATCTGATATTCCATCATCTGTGCTTAACCAAATGAAGCAGGAGTTTGAATATTGGTATCCTTTTGATCTAAGGGTATCTGGCAAGGACCTCATCCAG